CCACCGAATTAATGTGGTTAAAAACCGAATTAATGTGCTTAGTGTGGCCGCGCACAATCGAATTTATACAATCTGTTTCCCAAATTCGAATTATCTAAATTCGGATTAATCCTGTAGTGTAGACATACCCTAAGCAAAGAAAACTTTGTGCACCCTGACCCTTCAAGGTTGTCTTTGCTGTCAGTCTCTCAAAACACACACACACATCAGCTAGATAGGGTTATAGCGATCAGCAATGCCTTTTTTTTTACTCTGACTTTTATAGCAAATGTAAAGGGGGGGGCAGGGGTATGACACTTCTTTTTGCCTGTGAATAAAGGGTGGCTAGCCTGAAAAGCCGGAGGCAGTGTTGTTAGACTACCAGCAAACAATAAGTGGAAGCAAAGGGCTCCGAGCATGGGCTCGGGCACAAGTGGATTCTAGTCCTGACTGCTGCATTTTCCACTTACCTTGGGCAGGCCAAGTCACCTCTGTGCCTTGCTGTCGCCTGTCTGTAAAAATGCAGAAACCCAGGAGGAAAAAGCGCTATTTGAACAGATGCCAAATATTTGTTCATCATTACACATCTCCGTCTCCTGAAGCCCAACCCGGTGGCTATGCTGTGTCTGGAACGCCCCGTAGGGTTGGTGGGAGACCGGCACTTGATGTGGTAGCAGCGTCCCGGTCTTGTAACAACAACCGTCTCCCTAACTGGTTTTCCGTCTTCTGTGCCAGATGGATGGAGGCTTGTTTGAACGAGGAGCTGGCCTCTCCTACGGAGCTAGAGGAGAGCTTACGGAACGGGGTCATCCTCGCCAAACTGGGCCACTGCTTTGCACCCGACGTCGTCCCGCTGAAAAAGATTTATGACCGCGAGCAGATGCGCTACGAGGTAAAGGAATCGGGTGAAGGGATTTGCTTGGGTTAGAGGGAGTGAGTTTGAGATTGGGACTTTGGAGACCTGGGCTCCAATCCTGGCTCGTTGTGTGGCTTTGGGCAAATAACGGAAACTGCTGGCACCTCTCCAACTGGAGCTGACGGGAACTGCCGATGCTCAGCACCTGTGCAAATCAGATCCTCTCTGAAGGAAATGCTGGAAATGAAACTGATGAGAGGCATGAATGAAATGGACCAGCCTATGTTCAATTAATAATCTGAATACCCCCCCCAATTAAATGGGGGCATTGTGAAGGTTAATTAGTGACTATCCAGTTCTATAAAGTGCTGGGTAGCATTATCAACCCATGTAGAGGGGGCATTGATCAGTAGAAGACCATTTCTCTTCAGATCAAGAGATCCCTGGTTGAAACCTGTGTTGCCATCAAAGATTTTTAGATGCTCAAATCCTGTGGTGATGGGTGGCAGAATAAAACTTAAGAGCTCAGCTTTAGAAATGGAGGTGGCTCAACTGGATAACCGCATGCTTGTCACTCTGTCTCACTCGTATAAAGTAGACATGTACCCCTCGAAGAGGCCAGTGCAAACGCTAATGAGCCGCTTAAATCTTCAAAATGGGGCTTTAAAATCTTGAAGTCTGGGAGTTTCAAAAGCCTGCCACACTGGCTTAACTCTGCACCCGTTCAAGTCAATGAGAGTTTTACTGCTCATGAAAATCCCACCTTAAGCACACTTTTCTGTAAAGGGGTGAATTTCAACCCATTCGTGCATAGAAGATGTTATACTGCCAGAGCGCTGTAAAAAGCTGGGGGGTAGGGCGGGGGAGCTTGGTGTGAATGAGAATTAAGGCCCCTAATAGGTTTAACCTAAATCCACTCTGCTAGGTCCAATGACTTTCTCTTAAAGGCTCAATTTCTCTTAACACAGCAACATTTTAGCCACAGTATGCAACTGGCATGTGAGATGCTGCCTGTGTTGGATGTGTGACAGGTTTGTTCTATGTGGCCTAAAACGGAATTTATTTACTCTAACAATTAATTTCTTTGCTGACACAGCGGCATGTGGGTTCCACCCCCCTTTTTGTAAGCTTCCATCCCTGCTGCTTATTAAATCTCTGCACCTTGTTCCAGTCACATGGCGTGAATGGGAATCCAGGCAGGAAAAAAGGCTCCTTTTTAAAGGTTGTTGGTGATTCATTCTAGACCCTGAGGGCCTTTGAAGTCCCCTTCTATTTCCAACATATCAAAGACTGTCTTGGATGAATGAAGCCCATGTGTCTGTTTCTGATACATAATGTGATGGTTCATAAAACATAACGAATCCAGAGCTGTAGGGGCCGATCCTGTTCCCACTGAAGTCAATGGGAAAATCTTTATTGGGTAGATGCTTTTGAATCCGTTCGTATCCTCTTAGATTAATTAACCCTACTGCATGAATGAAGGCTCTCATTTTGCAAAGATGCTTAATTTGACTCATGTGAGCAGAGTTATTCAGGTGTGTGAGTCTCTGGACGATCTGGCCCTATATGACTGTTTGTAAAATTGTTTGAAAAGCAGAACAGTTAAAAAGAAAATGAAATTAACACATTAGTCTCTGATCCTGCAATGCAACCGATCGGTTGATTTCAATGGGTTATTTACTGTGCTTAAAGTTCAGCTCTTTCGGGGGTAGGGACTATGGTTATCTTTTTGTTCTGTGTTTGTACACTGCCTAGCACGATGGGGCTCTGGTCCTTGACTGAAACTCCTATGTGCTACTGCAGTACGTACAAACAAGTCTTTGCAGGATTGGGGCCTTGAATAAGAAATCTTTTAAATTCTAGGTGATGATATTGGTGTGTGCTGCAAGATCTGTCTGATTCCCCTGTGGCTCTCATTTGGCACGTGAGCCATTTCTTTGCTATGGGTGAAACTGGCGTTGCATCAGCCTCTCCGGCGTTGCATCAGCCTCTCCTGCGTTGAAGATGGACGGATAGATTTTTTTGGGGCATGATCTGATGCTCCTGGCAGAGCTCGCTCCAGACCCCGTCAATGCAGAGCTGACTGTCAGTCAGTCAGGGTCACTGCTGCATTGTTCATGGCCTGTGCTGGCTTAAATGGGTTTGGAAGAACTAGATGTAGCTGGTGCATCTGGTTCAGTGTCCAGGACCAGCGTCATCCGAGAAAGGCGCAAGAAACCCTCTAGTGGGCAACAGTGGCATAACCGCACCCAAAAGGGAAGAGTCATTCTAACCCCTGGTTAATCTCTCCTTTTTCCAGGCAAGTGGACTTCATTTTCGACACACGGATAATATCAACCACTGGCGCGAGGCCATGACCCGCCTGGGGCTTCCTACGGTAATGTATTCGCATCAGCATGTCCGGGCCAAAAGCGGAGCCCGGAAAAGATGAGACGCGCTCTCTGCTTGGATAAAAACGCAGAGCCCTTTCGTGTAAGCGGGAGCCACTCGAGTGGCTTCACCCAGCCGGGAGTATCATCCACACCTTGTGGAGTCAAAGGCAGCTGGTCAGGCTAATAAAATCTTCATTTGAAACCCTGTGGAGGTGAAGGAACCGTCCTTTGTCTCCTGCACAACGGGGGCGTAAAACGTTCTAGGGCGCAGTCAGGTCTGCATGAGCGATCCCTTCTCCATCTGTGCGTTGCAGTGACCCGAGAGTGAAACTCGTGGAAGGAGGGGGCGTTAAGGGGTTGCTGCCTTAATAGTAGAAGACTAGACGGCTGTACAATCCTGCCAGACGCTCGACAGAGTTGTCTGTTGAATCGTGTTCTCCCCGTGGGACCGTGTAGAAGCTGCTTCCAACATGGAGCAGCATTGGCCCTCCGTGTCAGCAAAGACTGTAACGATAATCCCTAGTGCTTCTCCGCTTCAGGTCTTCAAAGCACTTTACAAAGGAGATCGGCATCAGTGTCCCCATTTTACAGGTGGGGAAACTGAGAGGCAGGTCAAGGTTACCCAGTAGGTCAGGGCACAACGGGGAATCAAACCCAGGTCTTTTGAGTCTCCAGCCCATGCCTAGCCCCTTGGCTATACTGTGCTGCCAAATAGTTAAAGCTAATTGGCACTTACATGGGTGCTGTCTGTATTGCCAACAGATCTTTCACCCGGAGACAACGGACATCTACGACAAGAAGAACATGCCCCGGGTGGTCTATTGCATTCATGCTCTGAGGTAAGTGAGAAATCCAGGATGTAACGTGTTAAAGCGTTGCGTGTCTCTGGGATTATAGCTAGGGCCCTACCAAATTCACGGTCCATTTTGATCAATTTCATGGTCACAGGATTTTAAAAATTGTAAATTTCATGATTTCAGCTATTTAAATTTGAACTTTCACGGTATTCTAATTGGAGGAGTCCTGACCCAAAAAGGAGTTGTTGGAAGGGGGGGTTGCCAGGTTATTGTGTGTGTGTGTGGGGGGGCGGTTTCCGGTACTGCTACCCTTACTTCTGCGCTGCTGCTGGTGGTGGCGCTGCCTTCAGAGCTGGGTGGCTGGAGAGCGGTGGCTGCTGGCTGGGAGCCCAGCTCTGAAGGCAGCACCGCCGCCAGCAGCAGCGCAGAAGTAAGGATGGCCTGGTATGGTATTGTCACCCTTCTGCGCTGCTGCTGGCGGGGCGCTGCCTTCAGAGCTGAGCGTCTGGCCACCAGCTACCGCTCTCTGGCCACCCAGCTCTGAAGGCAGTGCAGAAGTAAACCTGGCAATACCGCGGTTCCCCTAAAATAACCTTGCAACCCCCCCTGCAACTCCCTTATGGGTCAGAACCCCCAATTTGAGAAACGTTGGTCTCCCCGGTGAAATCTGTATCGTATAGGGTAAAAGCACACACAAGACCAGATTTCACGATCCGTGACGTGTTTTCCATGGCCGTGAATTTCGTAGGGCCCTAAGTTATAGGAACTGAGGAGTTTTTTGCCTGTAGATTTTAATCAATGATACTTGCGCCCTCTGGTGGCTGTTTTATGTTTATCTCCTGAGGCCAGTAATTCTCAGATTTGGGTCCCGATCCTTAAACTCCCATGCCCGTGTTTAACTCCATGTCTGATAGACGACTCCCATGCGTGTCAAGTGAGGGCATGTGTGTGTCTCTGTGGGATCTGCGTGACTGGATTTAGGCCCCCTGGCTTTTTTTTTTTTTTTTTTTTTTTTTTTTTTTTTTTCCAGATTGTTCCCCAAAGGTGTTTCACTGCAGCTCCCATTGGCTGCCGCGGGGTGGGGAGCTCGGTGCCTCTGACAATCTGGGCACTTACTCTAGGTGCCACAGACTCTAAATGCCATGACAAAATGTTATAAATATAATTCATGCAAAATATGGGGCATGGGTGGGTGGGTGTGTGTGTGTGTGTGTGTGCGTGCGCACGCCACGTGCCCCATGCCCATAAAGCCATTGGGTCTGGGCTGTTTCATAGCAGAGGGGTGGGGTGATCCCAAAGTCGAGGGGAGAACACCCTGACAGCGTCCCCCACCCTTTTAAGCCAAGGGGGGTTCTGATTGAACACATGTGACTGGCAGAGGGAGGGAGAGATGGGGTCCAGTTTATTTTATTTTCCAGGGTCAAAGCAACCACCTCAGACTCTCTGGAAGGCAGCAGACAGCCACTCTGGGTCACAGAGTGCTGGTGTCTATGCTTTACAAAGGGGTATCGTCCCTGTTTTACAGATGGGGAAACTGAGGCACGGGGAAGGGATGTGACTTGCCTGAGGTCATACAGCGAGCCAGTCACAGAGCTGGCATTGTAGATCTCCAAGTTCTGTGTTCTAATGACCAGACCACAGAGCTTACTGTGTCATCTACTGTATGGATTAAAAACCCAGTAGTGTGTGTGTGTGTGTTACCGTGTGTCAGTCAAAAACTGAATTGTTCAATTCATCCATGAAGTGTGTTTGTTTTAAATTTTCAGTTTATACTTGTTTAAGCTGGGGCTGGCTCCGCAGATCCAGGATTTATACGGGAAAGTGAACTTTACAGGTATGGGCTGGTAAAGGACAAATCTGGGCTAGTTCCTGGGGGTTTCCTTGTTAACGCTAGCTGATCTGTATTTACTGCTTGTATCTCTGGAATTGTTCTGCAGACGGGATGCTTCAGCAGGCTTTTTATTTATAAGGAGCTTTGTTTAAGCTGAGATACAAAAAAAGTCAATTTTCTATCTCTGTAGCTAACTAAGGAGATCAGTGGCCCACTGTGCCAGGTGCTGTACGTACACATGTTAAGAGACCGTTCCTGCCCTGAACTGTCTAAATAGACATGATGGACAAAGGGTGGGAGAGAAAATAGAAGCCCAGGGAGGGGGAAGTGACTTGCCCAAGGTCACAGGGTAGATCAGTGGCAAAGGTGGGAATAAAATCTAGGTGTCGTGCCCACTGGACCACACTCTCTCATTTGGGAGACTAGCTCCCTGTATGTACCCAATTCAGCGCTGTTGACAATAGAGACAGAAGCACATGCTGCTGCTGGCTCCGTTAGCTTTTCCCTTTTGGGTCACTGAATGTCTCTTTACCGTATGGCCCTGATTCTGCACCGGATCCCTGTGCACATGTACCGCTCCAGTGAAGCCTGTGGCACTGCATAGGGGGCTCCTGGCGTGGATTAAATTGGCTGATGTCCATTGACATCACCTGCCGTTTAGGGTGGGGGTTAAGTCTCTGTACAGTGCCTGGCATCCCCGGGGCCCGTTCCTGCTTGGGGCCTCTGCTTGCCATCCTCATGGTACATAGACATGTCAGAAAGAGTCTGGTGCCGGCCCTGACCCAAACGGGCGTGTATTCGCTGACTGGGCTTGCTCTGTTCCAGAGGAGGAAATTAACAACATGAAGCGGGAGCTGGAGAAATATGGGCTCCAGATGCCAGCCTTCAGCAAGATCGGCGGGATTCTCGCCAGCGAGCTCTCCGTGGATGAAGCGGCAGGTGATTTTACTCCCTGGGTGGTTTTTCCTGCAGCGGCGCTCGCCTGACTCCCTCTCTGGGGTCTTTTGGCTTAATCCAGCTCTGTAACCCCTGAATGCATTTGGCCTCTTTACGGGTCGGTCTAGGGCCGGCTCGGCCCGAACCACAGGGCTAATGGTTGTCAAGGGAGAGTTAGGTGCATGCTGCTTAGACCCCTCGACTCCAGAAGAGTGGATCCCACCTGTGGATCACAGCCTTGCCTCCAGTCCGGGAGAGGGGTGGGACCCGTCGGCATCTCCCATTAGCTCCCTGCCTAGCGTGCTGGCTTTTGTGGATCCCGGTCCCAGGTGCCCCTCTCCCCCTGCATTATATAGAGAGCAGCCACCTCACCCAGGGTTTGTGGATTCTGGTGACTGTTTTTTTCAAGCCCCCCGAAAGCCAGGAGTTGCAACGCTGTGTCCCTGCGTAGATCCGGGCCACAAATAACTGGAAAGACTCAAATCCTCTCGCTCCAGCCTCTGACCACACGATGCTCTTCTGTCTCTGTCTCTTTCTTGCTGCGTCTGGTCTAGTCCACGCCGCCGTCCTCGCCATCAACGAAGCTGTGGAGAGGGGGGTGGTGGAGCAGACCATGGCGGCCCTGCACAATCCCAGCGCCATGCTGCTCAACTTGCGAGAGAACCTCGCCGCCGTCTACCAGGAGATGCTGTACCAGGTGAAGATGGAGAAAGCTGGCAATGCCAGGAACCGGGTAAGGGCAGAGCCCTCGGTGAAAGGAGAAGCTCCGTTACCTGGTGGTAGTGGTAGGCTCTTATCTTATATGTGGACCACAGTGGTGTGATGTGCATCATGATCGGGGGGGCTGCGCCTCGCGCTTTGACACCTAAAATTCAGGGCTTGAGTCATCTTCGAAATGGATCGAGGGAAAACGCAGGGTGGGTTTCTCTGCAGCCAGGAAAGGAAGGGGGCCAGATCCTCCAGGAGGGCTGGCCTAAAGCTGGCTGAGCTGGCCACAGGAGGAACGCTGGGAGCTGGTGGATATGGGGGTGCAGTTGCAGAAAAGGGGTGTGCATCTAGGCCAAGATGTGCAATGGTGGGTGGCTTCTCCCTCTTCTCAGTACCTGCAGGAGAGCCCAGAAAGCGAGGATATTTACGACCGGTGTCTGACTCAGGCTGAAATACAAGGGAACATCAACAAAGTCAACGGTGAGCAAAGCAACGCCCCCCCTCCACCCCCTCGGGGGCTCCTGGAGTAAATATGCTGCTTCTTGAGCACGTCCCCTTGGCGTGGGAGATCTGCCCAACACTAACTAGCTCTCCCAAAAGGCTTTGTTTCATGTGAGACCCAGGCTGGGTTCTTTAGTGGGGGCATGGCCTCTGCTCCGGTTGTTTTCAGAGTCCTGGCCCGGAGGAATAGGCAGGGAATCTCTCCCTCCCCATTAGAGGGCAAAGGGTTTCATTTCAGGAACAGCCTGAGGTTCTCCACATGGTTCCTTCACTGACTTCCCCTGGCACAAAGGGAATCCCTGAAGCAGGTAACCTGGGTAAACTCCTTATAAGAGCTTGTCTACACAGGGGTGGTGACGCTCCTATTCCAGGATGAGTCCCTTTATTGTGACTTAGTTTAACTCCGTTTTGGAAGTGGATTAATCAGGAATAGCTAATCCACTTTAAATTCACAACCTTATTCCGGATCGTCTTTCATGTGTCGACAAACCCTAATGCATTGCCCCTGGGTGGGTGGCTGGTAGCGGGGATCGAACCCCAGACTTCTGGATTTTTGAAGCCCAAGCCTCTAATACATGAGCAGCTCTGTTGGCTGAAGTTGGGGCAGGCTCATGTTGGCCTAGTCATCAGTAGAGGTCAATGGAGCGCCACCTTGAGTGGATGTGGCCTAGTGGTTAGCGCACTAGATTGGGATGCCTTAGCCCTGGGTTCTATTCTCTCCTCTGCCACCACCCTGCTGGGTGACCTTGGAGAAGGCACGTCCCCCTCCGTGCCTCAGTTTCCCCATTTGTACAATGAGGATCAAGATACTGACCTCCTTGGCGAAGAGCTTTGAGCTCTACTGACAAGAGCGCTTTGTAACTTGCGTTGCGGGTATGCTAGAAAATCAAAGCTCGTGGGTCATCAGTAGGGGGCAGAGAGTCGCTCCATCAGCTGGCAGCAGTAGCAGGCTCTTCTCTGTGAGCCAGCTGCTACAAGGGGACAGGATGTAGCTAGCATATTGCACAAATATCAACCAGCCCTTTCAAAACGGGCTCCTCGACAAAGGACCATCCACGGGATAGCTGACGTTCCAAGCCAGCCAGCGCAGTAAGTGGAGTCTAATCCCGTGCTCTGCCTGAGCCGACCCCCAGGCCTTTTAAATCCTCCCTCGCCAAAGGACGCGGACGCTAGGGCTCCATGGTACCAAGCGCCCCAGGCTAGTGGCTCTCTAGCGGTGTCTCCGTGCCTCTCTTCTAGTGCACGGAGCGCTGGAATACGTGGACGATGCTCTGGAGAGGCAGGACCCTCCAGCCTTGTGCCGGGCCCTGCAGGATCCCGTCCTGGCCCTGCGCGGTGTGCAGCGGGAGAACGCAGCCTGGTACTTGGATCAGCTGAGTACAGATCGGGAGCAGAAAGCACTGGTAAGGCCCAGCAGGGGATGTAGCCTGCATACCGGAGCTGGGAGGAAAATTGCAGGGCTAGGAACCAAGTGGTGCTGTGGGATCGGGCCCTAGCAGTCCAGACACCCTGTGCTGGGGCGGGTCTGGATCAAGCGAAAGCCCCATGCTCTAAAGGTTTCCTGTGACACATGGACATTCAGGAAGCCCTGCAGCCGGTCTGCATGTGAGCGACTTCCCGCGGAGGGATGGCAGGCGTGGCCCTGGGAGGGGAGCAGGCTGGCTGGGCCGGTCCCCCTTGTGTGCAAGCTCCTGCTGCTTTCCTCCTTGCAGGAGCTGGGCTACGTGGACCTGCTGGAGCAGGAGGAGGTGCAGGCGGGGATCTACGCAGCCAATGAGAAGGGAGATCAGGAACATGCCAGTAAGTCATGGCAAGTCCCCCATGCAGCGAAGGGGACTGGTACCGAGCTGGGGCAGCCAGGGTTGCTGTGAATCTGAGGCCAGATCCAGGCTTCTCAGCCTGTGCCTGATGCGTCTGGGGCTTGCTCCAGTTCCTAGTGACCCTCGCCGCAAACCCCCTGTAACTGGCACCTTTGCTGGCCGCCTCGCCAGAGAGGCCAATGAATCGTTGAGAGACGCCTGCCCCGCAGGGACTCCCTGTCTCTGTTCACTTGCTGCATTTGCTCCCGCTCCTGTCTTGGAAATGCTAACGCATTAGTGCCCCAGCCGGAGAGGGTCTGAACATCATGCTTGGCATCTGGCTGCTATAGGGATGGGGCATGCGCCAGCTGGTAGGTAGAAGGAAGGTAGCTTGCATCACCTCTGGGAGCTCCTGGGGCTTGGGCCGTCCCTAACTTGTGTCCCTGCTTACGGGGGACTTTGCCTGGCCCAATGGACCTATCCTGCCCCTGCCCTGCAATGCCGCACTGTTGCCAAGGCAGCAAAGAGCCGCTAGGGCCAGTCCCGTGCCTGGGCAGAGCGCATCACGCCTGCCCTGAGTCCCCTGTGCAGCAGGCGAGCTGCTCAAAATGCACGTGGTACGGAAGAGTTAACTGACTGGCAGCACGTGGTGTCTGGGTTGCAAAGCCCCGCGTAATAAGCAGAATTCAGGCAGCCCGGGCCTGCCTGGGCCCCAGATCTCCGCCCTCACATGCCCCCGTCGTCCCAAATTCAACACCCCACGATTATTGCCGCTGAACAGAACTGGGCAGGGCAATTCCTCAGTAGCCCAGAGCCGGGGCTCCAGGAGACCTGTGTCTTCGCTGGCGGGCTGGCAGCAGTGCTCCCCCTAACCCGGCTCCCGTCCGGATACGCAGCGGGGCTGTAACCTCCAGCTGCCGGGGTGGGGTGAAGCTGGAGCTGGCCACGCAGCAGGGAGGCAGTCGCTCCGTGCCGCTGGAGGGTTAGTTTTTCGCAGCATGGCCGCTCCCGCTCAAGCGGCGCGAACTCGGTTTGAGCGCTGCCTTAAGACCAGCCCCGAGTTCCGCCCCCCCCCCCAGTTAATTTGCCTCGTTTGTCCCGCTGGCGCGCAGTGAGGCAGGCCGTGAGCCGCATCAACGCTTCGATCCGCCGGGGGGAGGCGACGGGGACGGTGCGAGAATTGATGAGCCCCGAGGCCCAGCTGCCCGAGGCGTTTCCCTTCGCCGCCCAGCTGTACCAGCACGAGCTCGCCCTGCTACAGCAACACCATCCGCAGGTGAGGAGAGGGCAGCGTCTCCGGGGGCGGGGAAAAGAGGAGAGGTGACAGAGGCGGTCGGACAGTCGGCTCTTGGCTGCTGTCCTGGGGGCCACCTTCACAAGCATGCACTTCCCAGACTGCAGTCCCTGCAGGGGAATCGCTACAGCTCATTGGCCTGGTGCTGAAAGCCCTGGACTGGAGATCTGGCTTCAATCTCTGCCACAGACAGCATGGGACAAGTCTCTCTGTGCCTCAGTTTCCCCCACTGTAAATGGATTCATGTTGGGAACTGTAGGGATTGGGGTGGCAGAAAAGGATCATTGTTGTGTGTGCCCGTCCCCTCCCCGTTTCTGCAGGGTGAGTTGGGGCAGGAGGAACTGTACGTTGCAGTGGAGATGCTCTCGGCCGTGGCGCTGATCGACCGGGCGCTGGAAGCTGGGGACGTCTATGGATTCTGGAGTAGCCTGGTTAGCCCTGCCCTGGGCCTGTCTGACATCGAGGATGCAAATGCGCAACGGTAATTGGGTGGATCTGAGTGGGAATGATGCCCGGTGTACCGATTCCAGTGGAGTGAATTGGCCGTGAATGAGTTAAAAGGCTTTGTGGCATTTAAAAATGACAGAGAGAGGCCCCTGACAATTTTGAGGTGGGTCGAGCTGGGTGGGGAGAGTTCTGAGGCTGTGAAACAGGACCTGCAGGAACCCACGACCTGAAGGTTTAAACTCTGTCTGGAACCTGGTTCTGTTACCAGATGTCATCTGGGGCTGGCTGCAGATCTTCCCAGGAGCCACCACTTGGACCCAGCTTCCTGCTGGTCAGGTGGCAAGAGAGGGATGTGTTGCTGGAGGAGAAAACAATGTTGGTCCTATGCTAAGAGAGTTAGCGGTGAATTTGTGTATGGAAGTCAGGACTCCTGGGTTCTATTCCTGCCTGTGGCAGGAGGGGGGATGGTCTGGGTGGCCAAAGCCGGGACTAAGAGTCGGAACTGCTGCGTTCCATTCTTAGCTATGTTATTGGCTCAACGCGTGACCTTCACTGCTCTGTGCCTCAGTTTCCCCATTTTGGAAACCAAGAGACTGCCTCCTGCGGCGGGGCGTTCTGACATTTTCTGACAGCGTTTTTCAGACCCTTGGATGCGGGACCTTTCAGTCCCGTGCTAAGCACTGGCTCTATCTTTCCCCTTTCAGCTATTTTGACGACTTGTTGAAACTGAAGCACCGGTCTGGGAAAGCCGGGGTTGCGTTCCTGAGCTGGAACGACATCCAGGCCTGCGTGAACAGCGCCAACTCGGCGGTGCAAGACGAAAACGACAGTAAGTGGCTTTTATACCTGAGCGTTGGGCTCCGTGAGCTGTAGTGAGCTCTGAATCACCGGCTGGCTTTGTTCTTCCTGGCACAGGGATCCTCGCCATCAGACTGATCAACGAGGCGCTGGCGCAGGACGACCCGGAGAAGACGCTCACTGCTCTGCTGCTGCCCTCTGCCGGGTTCTCTGCCGTGACTCTCCCGGGAGCGAGGCGTTACCACGATGTCCTGACCGCCGCGCTAAGGCAGAAAGCCCAGGTAAGACTGTCGGTGTTGCGCTGCTGAGAGCAGCTGGCTAGGGAAGGGGTGGAAAGGCTGTTGCTTGGGACACGTTAAAACCAGCGTGTGGCAGAGAACGATCCAGCTGGATAGATGTGAGGGACGGGGGAGAACTGTCATTCCAAGGCTGGGTTAAGGATTCACATTCCTGGCAGTGGCCTTTTGCCCTGGGTTAGAAGCCCAAAGCCACAGGGCAACACGGGGAATTTCTGCCTTTTTGTCTCCAGGCTCTTGCCTGCGTCTTGCTCCACCTGGTTCCAAAAGGTCCCATTGCATTTTCCACAAGAGCCCTGGGGCCTTTAAGCCAAATTCCTCCCACTCCGTTAAATGCTGTTTTTGCCAGCCGCCCCTTCCCCAGAGGTGGCTGCATCTCCGTGACGGAAGCACTGCCTCTGCGTGCGGTTTGTAAAGATTCCCCGGCTCATCCCTTTTTGCCTCCTGTCTCCTAGGTGACCGGAGATGATGGAGCAGCTCTCTGGTGGGAGGAGATCCAGCAAGGGGTTTCCAAGGCCAATCAGGACACCGAGGCAGCCAGGAGACGTAAGGGCTCGGAAGCTAACTTGGACCAGGATCAAGCTGGTGCTGCAGCCCGGCGCTCTTCCGTTATTCCCCTGTGCGCCAAGAAATGCAGGACGGGGAGAGACTCTCTAGCCCGGTCATGCTGGTCTTTCCACCCTCCCTGAATCTCCAGGGCTTGCGAGATACTCTCCGCTGAGGTCTTAAGGGATCAGGGTAGGCCCTGCGAGATGAGCTAGGCTCGGGGGTTCTGGGATGCTGACCCATAAGCCGCGGCAGTGAACGCCACTGAATGCTGTGCCAGTGGCGATCCTTCCGAGACGTCTTGCTTCTCCCCTGATCCTCCAATTGCAATCTGACTTGGAGCCGCCCCTAGGAACCTGTTCTCTGTACCATCTGGAATCCACATTCCCCAGGGGCGTAAAGGGTTAATCTCCTTCTCCAAAGCTTCATGCAACCGGCTGCTAACTACTCACTGGGAATGGCTGTTGCAAAGGTGGACTGGGCTGCCGATGCAGCAGGAACTCGGCTGTTGGAAGCTTGGAGACCACGGGCCGTGGTGACCTGCTTCCAGGCAGGCCTGGACCAAGCTGGGCTCGCTGGGGGGTGTGTGGATGAATGCACCCTCTTCCTTTTCTAACCCCTTCCTTCCCCGTCGCTTCCCGTAGTGGCTCTAGGCACTGCTGCCATCAACCAGGCCATAAAAGAAGGGAAGCCGGCTCAGACGGCACGCGTGCTGTGTAACCCGGACGTCTCCCTGCGCGGCGTCGTGGCAGAATGTGCAGGGGCCTACCAGGCACAGCTCGCCGCCCTCCTGGCTGCCAAGAGACAAGCAGGTAACAGGCCCCTGACTCCTCTGACCTTGAAAATGGCGGGGGCGGGGCTGAGTCTCCAGCGGCTAGCATTGGTTCGCCTCGAACACCCATAGCTGTTTGGGGCAGGGAGCATTTCTGTGTCCGTACAGCGCCTAGCGCCGCGGGTCCTGGTCCGTGACTGGGACCCCGAGGGGCTACCGCAATCCAGAGCAATAACCCCCAATTGCCACGCACTCCACAGGAAAGACGTGGCCGACCCTAAAGCTCTGACTGCCAGAAGCCAAGAGGGGAAGACTGGGCGGTCTTGCTAGCTGCCCTGGTGTGTACGCTCCCCCTGACGCTCTGGTACCAGCTGCTGTCGGACACAGGATCCTGGGCTGGCTGGACCATTGGGCTGACCCAGTATGGCCAGTTGTGGGGACGTCAGCCAGGGGAGGCTGAACGAGGGGGATGGCCTCGTGGTTGGGGCCCTAGCCTGGGATTTGGGAGACCCAGCTTTGCCACGGACTCTGGGCGAGTCTCTCTGCGCCTCAGTTCCCGCTTATGGAGGAGGATGGGTGACCGCGAGGGGAGAAATAGGACAAGCCAGATGTCCAAACCAGAGAGGGGGCTGGCAGATAGTTGCTATAGGAAGGGCATCCGATGCGAGGGAGAAGGCTCTTGCTCTGGTTGTATGTGAGGAGAGCAGGGAGTTGAAAGCCGAACTCTGAAGCTGGGGACAGGACTATAGAGAGCTGCCTAAATGTTCCATCAGCTGAGCCTTGGTTTCCAAACCTGATCGGAGGCCGCTGAAATCCAGTTTGCTGCTGGATCGGTTTAACCCTGCGGCTGCCTCTCCTCTTGCCTTGTTCGTGTTTGTGTGTGTGTGTGCGTGGAGCTCTATTAACGCTCTCCTTCCCCTAATCCTGTCCCAACGGCAACGCTCAGGGAACGCCAAACACCACTGGGTCAGACACCAGCTGAAAGATGGCAGCGTGTATTACTTCAGCCTGCAGAGTTTCGAAGGCAGCTGGGAGCGGCCGCGTGACTCTGTCCTTAACTCCACCCACCTCAGCCGGGAGGAAATCCAGGTGAGGGGCAGTCGCTAGGGGCTGTGATCAAAGACCTCGTGTCTGGAGTAGTGCTGAAGAGTCTGGCTTGCTGCTGCCGGGCCCTGGATGTCGATACGCGAGGCGTCCAGGCTAACGCGCTGTGCGTTAAATGCTCTGGCTGCATCCATGGTTCTAGCCCGTTATCCCACTGGGACATGTCGGAGCGCTTCAGAGATGTTAATAACAAAGCCATTCGTTCTCCAGCCCTCTTGTTCTGCCCAGAGGCTTGCAAGAGAGATTGGGTCATATCACTGGAAGCAACACTCCCAACTCTTAAACATCCGGCTCATGGGAGTTGCCAGACTGGATGAGACCTGGGGTCCATCTAGCCCAGTGACCTATCTCCAGCAGCGGTACCAGCTGCTTCAGAGAAAGATGCAAGAATCCCGCTGTTACAGGATAACCTGCCCTAGGGAGATGTTTCCTCCTGACCCCATTAGAGATTATCTCATGCCCTGAAGGATGAGGGTCTCTAGTGCTTCCAAAAGCCAAGGGATATTTTTATGCACTTTCCAGCCGTAGGATTATCCAATCCTGTTACTGAATCCTGCTAGCATATAGATGCCCCCAGGTTACGCAAACTCGATTTACGCAAAATTTGAGTTTTGAGTTTTGCATAAATCGGGGAGCGTCTGTATATACTTTTGGATGTAATGCACTGGCAACATGTGGTTCTGTCTCCCTCTATTGGCTGAACTGAGTAAGCTTATGAGTCTGTCCCTGCCTCTGAGCTGATTGGATCTGGTCCTTCAGCTCAAAACCGCAGCGGATTATGCTTTTTAGGTCCAGATGGCCTGGGTTCAACCCCAGCTGCTGACCCAGCTGGGGGTGTTCCCTTCTCATTGGTGGATGGTGTACGTGCGTCTGACGCATACAAAGTCTTCCTGAACTGATCTGTCTCTCCTATCTGCAGTCGACGATCACGGAAGTGACCACGGCCCACGACCAGGAACGCCTCTGGGAATCCAACGCTGGATTCGTTGTGCGGCTGCAGGCCCGCATGAGGGGCTACCTGGTCCGCCAGGAATTCGTGGCCCGCAGACATCTGTTGCGGGAGCAGTTACCAGCTGTTATCAAAATTCAAGTGAGGAGCGCTGCCAGACTGCCAAGCCGATCACACGCTGACATGCACGACATCATTTATATAGCGCTGGGCCTTCAGGGTGTTGTACAGGCATCCTGCCCACTTCCCGTATTACCCCCTATTTACAGAGAGGAGAACACCTTTATTATTCATCCTGTCTATTATGGTAGGGCATCAGGACCGGACAAGAACGGGGGACCTGTGCGCTAGGTGCTGTACAGGGTGCCTGTATTTTTTCCATAGCCGCCTCTCTCTCTGGGGGCTTGCAGCCTGGGTTTTGGGAGGGGGTGCCGACCCTGGTTTCGTAGGCTGTGTTGAAGACTAACCGAGTCAGGATGAGCTGAGGAGTAGGGGTTGTTGGGAGTATTCTGTGCTCTCCCTAGGGCAGCTTGTGCTGCCAGCGGCTGGCAGAGGTGTGAGGATTTCCTCCTGTGGGTACAGACCAGGCCTTCCCACACTGGAAGCTGGTGCCTTGGGTCACCCCAGAAATGTCATGCTGTAGTTGATTGGTGTGTGCGATATATATATCTTTTTTCCTCTTGGGGTATCCAGTCATGCTGGAGAGGCTACAGACAGCGCAGCGCTTACCTGCAAAGATTGCGGTACTTGCAAAAAACCAGAGATGCTGTGATAAAGGTACTGGAGCCTTGTCTGCTTCTGTAATCCCCCCCCCCCACACACACCCTGCTCCTCTGTTTTCTAGTAGCAACAACATCCTATTTGCAGCCGTTTTCCCCGTCTAGATCTGGGAATCCCTGTGGAGATGCAGCCATCTCTGGGGTGGAATGTCACAGCTGTTTCACAGCAACAAGAATACATTGTTCACTTCTGTCCTAAGTCACTGCATCTAGTTGCAGGGGGAGTTTTAGGGAGGCAGGACATGGCTTCCCAAACTGGATGTTGACCCCAGGTGGGTGACACCCAAAATTCTTGCAGAGAGCGCTACAGTGGTCAAGAATCTTGGCGTTATCTGTGATCAGAAAAGACACCCGGGTGAGCCCAGCGCCCCCTAGTGCTGTGTAGATGGACTAAGGGAGCCTAAGTGAAATGGATCAAATCGTTGTCTCAGAGAATACCCTCCAAGGCTTCCCGTGTCCAGTTAAAATGGTCAAATCCGTGTCTCCTCTTCTGTTCCCTCCTCTCAGATCCAGGCATACGTGAGGATGTGGCGAGCTCGTAAAAGGTACCGGGAACGGCTGCGCTACTTCAGGAAGAACGTGAGTGGCTGATCCGTGAGTGCAAGTGAAAATATAACCCCAGAGGCTCTGAAAAGAGCCTCTTGCAAATAGACTAAGGGTACGTCTACACTTGGAGCGGGGGGTGATCCCCAGCTCAAGGAGACGTCATTGAGCTAGCGTGCTTAGCTTACGGGCCAGTCATCCCGAGCGCGTGCTAGGTATGTACTCGGGACGCCTCGCCCGTGCTACCGTGGCTGCGTGCTATTTTTAGCAAGCGAGCTTGCTGAGAGCTGGCGCGAGTGTGTTACATCCCCAGCTCGAAGTGTAAACGTACCCCGAGAGTCCTTAGACCATCTTCTTCCTCTGCCTGAGGGAGACACTCAAATCCTCTTGTATCTTGTGCTGGAGCAAAGAGGAGCCCTCTTAAAGTGAATCAGCTAAATAACTGTGTGGCGTTCCAGCATGGAACCTGGGGATGAGGGAGGAGCTTTGTGTTTCTAGGTGGGGGGCTAGAATTTGCCCCTAGGTTGCAAGATTTCTATGTAAGTATGCACCTGAAATGTACAAATCTGCAGGAAAAGAATCTGATGAAGAGGAAGGGGTGGGGATGTGTCTAGGTCCAAAGGCCCACATTTGTCAGTGCCTAGTGAGCTTGGGTGCCGGATGAGAGCCACCTCAAGAAGGCTGATTTTCAGACGGGACTGAGTGCGTTGTTTTGAGGATGGTGTCGGAATGGCAAGCCGCATGTGTGCGTTTGGTTGTGTGGTTCCTTCATTCCTGGCCCTGCTCGCAGACTAGGGGGTTCTTGAGTACGTGTTTGATCAGAAGAGCTGGTAAAGACCCAGTTTAAAGCAAGGTGGGGTGAGTGGTGCCTCGCTGCCTTAGGGAGCAGTCTGTTTTCTCTCTCTCTGTTTTTGGGTTCTTGTGTGTTTATCGTTCTGAATTCTAAGAAATAAAGTTGTGACGTTGCAACCTTCTAGCAAAAGGTTTTAGCTTTTTAATCTAACTTCTGTGTGTGTGAACATCACACCGAGCACTCTCCCTCTGCAAATCAGACCCCTTTAAGACCTCTCAGGTGTGGCACCCAAGGTTGCTAATCCCTTTTGAAAGTTTGGGGTAAAGGAGGTGTGGGGTAGGGAAGTCTGTTGCCTGCGAAAATTAAGAAGCTGAGTGTCTGGAGTTCATTTAGCCTGTTGCCAAATGTAGCGGCTCCTGAAGAAAGCAACAGCCGGTAAGACCCAGGGTAAAATTTTCAAAAGCATCTAAGTGACTGTGGCTCCTAAGTCCTGTTGACTTAGATGCTTTTGGAATTTTTACCCTCAGCACTCTGCAAACCTATAAACCCTCGCAAATCCCCTGTGAGCCAGGAAGAGAGTAAACCCACTTCGCAGATGAAGGGGAAATTGAGGCAGAGGGCGGGTCAATGACTTGCTCAAAGCACACAGCCTCACATCTAGGAATAGAACTCAGGAGTCCAGACTCCCTGCCTCATGGTCAGACCATTCCCTCAGGCATCTGGCTAGGAGTTCACTGTCTAGAAGGATCCCATTGAGTACGCTCCCTCTGCCTGACACCCCAGCTAATCCGTTTGCTAGTTGCATGGCTGGTATATTTTTTTTCTCTCTTTACATTTGTGCCTGCCACGGGGACGCTGTAGGAAACATCCCTCTTCCCCCTTTGTTTGTCTTGGCAGATTAATGCTGTAATTAAAATCCAGGCTTTTGTGAGAGCTAACAAGGCCCGTGGGGATTACAGAATGTTGGGTAAGTGCCTGTCTGTCTAGGTTTTATTTAATACAGATGTGGCTTTCATTAATCGCAAGGATGTTGCCTTCTCATTACCATTCCTACACTTCGGGTATGGGCTGAAGCCCCCTTTGCAGTCCCTGTAGTCTGGTGCTGTGCCAGCCCCTGGTGTAAAGTAGAGCAGCCTCAAGGCTGCTCTAACTTCAGGCCGTGTTTCCTAAGGGAGCTTGGAATCAACAAATAGCCACATAGCAGCATGCTCTGGCTTCGCCCCCTATCCATGCCTATGCTGGGAGCAGGCGCAGAGCCCTTGCACTAGCTCCATGCCAGCCGGGGAGGCCCTGGTGCAGGGGGCATTCTTGGTTCCCATTTCCACCCACTTTTTAAGGCCCCTTTATGCTGGCCCTGAGCACGACAAGCCCTCAGTAGCCATTTAACCGCATTCAAGGGAGAGTTCCCTCTGTCCCCTGCCAGTCCACGCCAGGGACCCGCCACTGAGCATCGTCCGGCGCTTCGCCCACCTGCTGGAGCAGAGCCAGCACGACTTCTGGGAGGAGTCGGAGCTGCTGAAGCTGCGGGAGGAGGTGGTGAAGAGGATCCGCTCCAACCAGCAGCTGGAGAGCGACCTCAACCTTATGGACATCAAGATCGGGCTTCTGGTTAAGAACAGGATCACGCTGCAGGTCAGGGGGTCATGGGGCGGGGGGGGGGGGGGGACCCCAGCTGCCCCAGGGCTTTTCCTCCACTAACCCTACTTTCCCATTCCGGGGCCAGGCTCTGTTCTCCGTTACACCAGTGTGATTCTGGAGTCGCTCCCCTGGACTGGACTAAAGCTGGGGTTCCTTAATCCCCTAGGCTCCTTTTTATGTGCTTGTCTGTGCCTCTGGAAAACCTCCTCCCAAATCCAGCCCTGGTGTAGGCATGGAGCTATGCCTGCTTATGCCAGAACTGAGTTTGGCCCTTCGGGCTTATCCCAGTTCAGGGCAAGTACACCTGTATTCCCGCTCTGTAATCTACCAAGGGCACCCGGCTCGCCAGTTGTCCCCTCAGGTGGAGATCCGCATCCCTCTCTCTCCTGACCAGGGTATCTACGTTGCCCAGTTCCCTAGCAAGTCAGACTGCTTAAGCAGGCCTGCTTTGCTTTTCCCCCAGAGGTGTAAGTGACCACCCAGCCCTTTCTAAGCAAGCAGATTTATTCTTCGGGTGAAAGCATGACTGAGAAAACACTGATTTAAAAACAATAAAACCTACATGTGTGCTAATAAGCTGACCAGAGATCAGCCGAGGTCCATTAACCGCTCTGGTTGGTGGTCAGTCCTTCAAACCCCAGCCAGGGGATTTTCTACAGTCACAAGTTCATAACAGCTGGTATGTTATGACCACAAGCCCACCTCCCCTGTTACAAGTTCATAACAGCTACAGTCACAAGTTCATAACAGCTGGTAGCTAAGAACAAGCCCACCTCCCCTGCCCCGTGAATCAGCCAAGTCCTTCCAACCCTTCCCAGGAAGGACTGCCCCCCCCCCCCTTGGACGGAAGGGCCCATCTGTTTGCTGGATCTGAAAGCAGGCCCTGAGTCTGTTCAAACTCAGGGGTTTTCTTGGTTGGTTCTCTAGAGAACCCAGGGTGAACCAGTATATGCCAGCCTCTCCGGCCGGGGGCACCTCTTGGGAGCTGTTGCAACCTGAGGGACTTTGCCTAATCACGCCGCCCACCCCTGTCCCTGGAGGGCTGGGGTTTCCCCTCCCCCATGGAATTGCATACAATCCCTGCCCTACAACGATACCTAACCTGAATTCAATAAGACGTAACTTAACCTGGACAAACGTCATCGCATTATTGCCATATCTGTCACAGGGCTTAATCCAGAACCCACTCAAGTTAGCGGGAATCTTTCCCCTGATTTCAGGGGGCTTCGGATCCAGCCCCTGATGAGCTGGGTCAATGTATAAGAGCTGCGAATTTATTTTTATTTTGTGGTGCTTTTCATCCATGTGCCTCAAAGCGGGTCAATATCACCGTCCCTTTTTTTACCAGTGGGGAAATTGAGGCACAGGGCAGTGACTCGCCCAGCAGGCCAGTGGCCGAGCTGGGAATAGACCCAGGTGTCCGGACTCCCGGTCCGGCGCTACGCACTAAGTCACGCTGCCTGCTGTTGAGGTCGGCAGCACCTTGCTGACTTGCACGAGGCCTGTTGGGGAACAGGGAGCCTGCCAACTGCATGCAGAGCGAGCCAGGCCTCAGCCGTGCATGTGGAGCTGGTGGGTGTGGTTTGATGGGGGATGAATTTCCCCGTGGTGTGTAAATGGCAAAGCTGCGTGAATCCCAAGGCCCGAAGGGGTGGAATTTTTCCCAGAGGATTTAGGAGCAACAATTCTTATTGCAAGTCCAATGAGACCTGTGCTCCCAAATCACTTGGTCTCAACTATGTCAATGGGGCGGATGCTCCTAAATCACGTAGGCGCTCTTGCCACCCTCCCCCTTATCTGCTCGCCTGCCCCACGACAGGAGGTGGTTTCCCACTGCAAGAAGCTGACGAAGAAGAACAAAGAGCAGCTGTCGACCCTGATGGCCATCGACAAACAGAAGGGGCTCAAGTCGCTCAGCAAGGAGAAGCGCCAGAAGCTGGAGGCCTATCAGCACCTCTTCTACCTGCTGCAGGTGAGCTGGCTGCTGGGTTTGGGGAGGCCTGGGCACTGCTGGCACTTGGGGGTCTTGAGCCAATAGTCCCTTCTGGCCCTACGCTCTGTGCAGATTCCCTCCCCAGCGCCTTCCTCTCCCCTTCTCTGTCTGGACCAGCTCCTTCCTTAAAAGGAAGCGCCACCTCTGAGTTACCATCACGGGATGCTTTGTCACCTGCCCCAGCCAGGCGCAGGGATGCGTGCGTGCACCCCAGCGGGCTGCGACACTGGGATCTGCTCATTAGTTTTCCTGCGATGGGTGTCCATTTGTTATCTAGTATTACGGTAGCACCTAGAGGCCAGAACAGATCAGGGCCCCATTGTTCTAGGCCTGCATGTGAACATGGCAAGAGACAGTCCCTGTTCCAAAGAGCTTTGTCTAATCAAGCAAGACAAAGGATGGGAGGGCACGGAGAGGGGAGGTGACTTGCCCGAGGTCACCCAGCAGAGCTGCAAAGAGAACCCAGTTTTCCTGACTCCCAGTCCAGGGCTGTATTCACCAGACCACGCTGACTGTTCCAGCCCTCAAACCCCAGGATAGCCCTCCTCTTTAACACCTCTCCTCTGTCCGCAGACCCACCCTGTGTATCTGGCTAAGCTGATTTTCCAGATGCCCCAGAACAAGTCGACCAAGTTCATGGAATCGGTGGTCTTCACGCTCTACAACTACGCGTCCAACCCCAGAGAGGCCTACCTGCTCCTTCAGCTCTTCAAAACCGCCCTGCAGGAGGAGATCAGGTAAGTGCTACGGGCACATACCATCGGCTAGGGAGGCCAAGACCAGGGCTGCCCTGATACCAGGGCTTGAACGCCTGTCTGTCTTAAGGAGCTGGCAGTCTGTCTCTTCCCTGCATTCAGATGAAACCGTCTCAGCTGAATGCCTCTGGTATTCCAAGACCCCTCTGAGACACGTGGATGCCTAGGAGTCAAGAGAACGCTCCCTAGCTGTCCGTGCAAGGATGTAGGGCTAGGTCCTGTCCAAACTCCTGTTGACTAGGTTTTGGCGCTTATCCCCCTCAGGGGATGGCTGGCCTGCAATCAGGTGTGTGATTGCACCAGGTGTAGACAGACCCGAGCTGGCTTTAATCTACGTCGCTTGGGCATCCACAGCAGGACGGCTGCACAAGCCGGCCCGAGACCTCGGGCGTGCGCTCAGGCAGCGAGCCCGTGCGGCCGTGGCTTCGCTGCTCTTGGTGCCCAAGTTGGCTCAGGTGTGTCTACACATGCTGTAGGGTTTAGTGCGGCCAGGCCTTTAGAGTTTGAGCACCAAAGTCTCTGAGGGGCATGGACACCCTCCTTGTCCTAATCTAGACACGCAGGAGGTAGGCAGTGGTACCAGGAGGCCGGCTGATTCCACAGCTTGGCAGACCCCGAAGGCACAATAACTGCGCTGCTTGTCTTCAGTGGCTATTTGTTTGTGCTGGCTGCAGCTTCGAGCCCAGATCAGAGTTTTGTCCTTTCTCACCCCCCCTCGCCCCCCCGTCCAGGTCCAAAGTCGACCAGCTCCGTGACATCCTAACGGGGAACCCCACCGTGATCCGGCTGGTGGTGAGCTTTTACCGGAATGCCCGCGGGCAGAACGCCTTGCGTCAGATCCTGGGCAGCCCCGTGCAGGAGGTTCTGCAGGACAGAACCCTCAGCATCCGCACCAACCCCGTGGACATCTACAAGGCCTGGATCAACCAGCTGGAGTCTCAGAGCGGACAGAAGAGGTCAGGCCCGGCCCATGCCCAGCCTCGCCACAGAGGCCACGTTGGCTTGCCAACGTGCTGACGCTTAAGGGTGTCTTTCTTCTATCCACAGCAAGCTCCCATATGATGTTAGCCCCGAGCAGGCCCTGAGCCACCCCGAGGTTCAGCGTCGGCTGGACATCTCCATCCGCAACCTCCTGGCAGTGACGGACAAGTTCCTCTCTGCCATCACCTCTTCCGTGGACAAAATTCCGTAGGTAGCCCCGGGCCTGTCTGTTACAGCCGGTGAGGCAGCGTGGCCTACTGGAGAGGGTACTGGGCCAGGAGCTAGAGGTTTACTCCCAGCCCCTGACTTGCTGTATGACCTGGAGCGAGTCATGGCTCTGCTCCGTGCCTCTTTTTCCCCATGTGTAAAGCCAGTCCCGACCTTCCTCCGTGGAGCGCTCAGACCTGCAGAGGAAAGGGGTCAAGCAGAACTCTTCGTGCTAGTTTAATTAATTAATACCAAAGGTGCTTTCAAGGAAGAACGTATCTAGCGAGTCTGGTGGGAGGCGTCTCCTGCTGCAGGTGTCTTCTCGCTGATGCAGAAGTGGGGTGCGGGTCTGTTCTGACTCCTTTGCCTTTCCTGGAGTGTGGCGGCTCTTTCTGCAGTTCACATCCCGGTAATGGAGGGGGAGCATTTCCTTCAGAGGAGGAGTGGGATCTAGCGGTTAAAATGTGGGACTGGGAGTTGGAGAGACCTGAGCTTCCTCCTTGCCTGACCTTGGGCAAGTCATGCCTCAGTTTTCCCCCTGTAAAATGGGGCTAATACTTTGGGTAATACTCTGCACCTCCATACGCAGGAGGGTGGTGCCATGGAGATTACCTAAGCAATAGCAGAGGGCTTTGAGAGCTCTCGGAGAGGCTCGCCGGGTGGCATATGGCACCACAGGCTGGCCTGACATGCAGGAAGACGCCCCTAAAGAGCTTACACTGTCATTTACTTTGGGGGGAGGGATAGCTCAGTGGTTTGAGCATTGGCCTGCTAAACCCAGGGTTGTGAGTTCAGTCCTTGAGGGGGCCACTTGGGGATCTGGGGCAAAATCAGTACTTGGTCCTGCAAGTGAAGGCAGGGGGCTGGACTCGATGACCTTTCAAGGTCCCTTCCAGTTCTAGGAGATGGGATATCTCCATTAATTTCAATTTCAAATTTCAATTTCAATTTAGGCAAGGTCTGGCCCAGGGAGCGCCGGGCTTGGCTTGGGTTTTGTTGGCAGTGGAGACATCACTTGTACCAAGTCACTGTTTTTGTTGCAGTGCTGGGGCGCCCCAGGACCCCACAGTGCTAGGTGCTGCACAAACCCAGAACAAAGACACCAACGCGCTTACAGTGAATAAGGAGCAGATTTTTAATGGGGAGGGTAATTGGCCATTAGAACAACTGGTCTAGGGATGCGGTGGATTTCCCCCAGCATCTCAAGCCTGGATAGCTTTCCCATAGATCTGCTGTCCTGGGCTGGATTCAAGAAGCACTGGGAGAGGTTGTGTCTGAGGCCAGACTAGATGATCGTTAACGGGCTCTGGCCTTAGCACATGTGAATCTAAGCCCGCTGGTTGACCTCTGCCCACGTGATGAGCCTCTTCTTCTCTGATGTCTTTTAGCTACGGGATGCGCTACGTGGCCAAAGTCCTAAAGACGTCCCTGGCTGAGAAATTCCCAGACGCCGGCGAGGAGGAGATCTGCAAGGTGAGTAGAGGACGTAGATAGCTGGGCAAGGTGACAGCAGCAAGGTCTCTGCGGCTGGCTGCCTCTAAACATCAAGGCTAGAGAGGCGCTGGATAGCCGTCCTGCCCTCCCCCTGGCATCCCGTCAGAGAGGCAGTGTGGCCTAGGGGATCTGGATTCCAGTTATACCATGTGGCCTCGGGCAAGTCACATGCCTGCTCTGTGCCTCCATTTCCCCATCTGTGTAAGAGGGAGAATCCTAGTGTAATGAGCTGGCTAGTGTATGTGCACTGCTGCCCCCTGTGGGTTGCAATCAGAACTCCTGAACTGTGTTTCATAGGCCCCGTACTGCAAAGCTGTACAGGAAACTACCAATGTGTTATAGCCTGGAACAAACATTTAGGCAGCATCCAGACCAGGCTAGAGCCGCCTAAGAGCAAGGCCTCAGTAGTAGTAATAGTTCCCTTTCTCTGCTCCCTGCACCCTAGATTGTCGGGAACCTGCTCTATTACCGTTTCATGAACCCGGCCGTGGTGGCTCCGGACGGCTTCGATATCGTTGATATCTCTGCCGGCGTGGCCCTGCACCCGGAGCACCGGCGCAACCTGGGCTCCATTGCCAAGATCCTGCAGCACGCAGCGGCCAATAAGATGTTCGAGGGGGAAAACGGCCATCTGCGTGTGGTGAACCAGTACCTGGAAGAAACCCACTCTAAGTTCAGGTTGGTGCCATGCGGTGGCAGTTGTAGCCACGGTCCCATTGCGCTAGGTGCTGTACGTACGTGTAGTGAGACTGCTCCGATCCCCTAAAGAGTTTAATTGAAACAAACAAGGCCGGCATGAGGTATTATTTATCCCTCTTTCGCAAATGGGGAAACCGAGGTCCAGAGAGACAAGGCGACTTGCCGAGTCTCCTGCAGGGAGTCCGTGGCAGCGCTGGGAAGAGAATCCAGGTCTCTTAAATTCTAAGCTAAGGTCTCAGCCACAAGGTCAGGCTTCATTTCGCTAGTGCTGCTGCAAAGCCGGGGTAACAGCAAAGCTTAACTGAGTTTTGACAGCAGCCGCCGCCTTAGCTAGGGACATGAGTGGAAAAGAGGATCTACGCTTAACTGGCCAGAACTGTCCCTTTGTTCTGTGTTTTTACAGCAGGCAGCACCGTGGGGTCGTGGTCCGTGGCTCAGGCATCAAGGCACTTTGACAATACAAGTAATTAATAAGAATTAAGGGAGTGATTTTTTTTTTTAACAGATCTAGCTACACCAGTAAAAACCATAGTGTGGACTCTGTTATACCAGAATGCCTGTGCAGTAGAACGTCAGGGTTACGAACACCTCGGGAATGTTTGTAACTTGGAACAAAACGTGATGGTTGTTCTTTCAAAAGTTCACAACTAAACCTTGACTTAATACAGCTTTGAAACGTTACTAGGCAGAAGAAAAATGCTGCTTTCCCTTTATATTTTTAGTAGTTTAGCACAATGCTGTACTGTATTTTCTTTTTTGGGGTCTCCGCTGTTGCCTGATTGTGCCCTTTCAGTACCAAATACGGTGTGTGGTTGACTGGTCAGTTTGTAACTCTGAGGTTCTACTGTACTTAGATCAGCATAACTTATGTTCGCTCCCCAAACCTGCATGACTATCCAGTCTACGCTCCTTTCTACTGGTAACTGTATCCATACTAGGTGGGGTTGTATCACTTTAAATAGCCCAGTACAATGAAAGCAGCAAAACGTTCCTAGTGTAGACAAGGCCTTGGTCTGATCCCAGTTCAGCTCTAAATTAATACATACACACACCGTGCGAGATCCCATTGCAATGATGCCTCCTCTTTGCTGTCCAGTTTAAACTGTCCCTGAAGGTTGTCAAAACTCTCTGTGCAACTCTCCCCCCCACCCCTTCTCCTCCCCAGTCGTCTGTCGTTTCTAGCATTGGGCAACAGTTGAGAGTAATTAGCATGTGCCCCTTTGGTACCTCAGGATTCAATAAGCAGATCAGAGTAAAAACAAATGTGCAATGATTAAACAGCATTCCTGGCACTCCCCTCGGCCTCAGTGAATAAATTAGTCCGTAATTAAAAACCTTTTAGGCACTTAGAAGAATGCATGTGTTTGCTTCTCCACCTTGTTCTCGGAGGACAGCTGATGGACTTGGCTAATGCGGTAGTTTGCGAAGCAGAAGAGAAGTGGCAGAGGGTCGGTCTGTACGGGGGGCAGCACAGAGCTCCGGTCCCAGGCCGAGGCCCGAAATTGACCAGGGTCGTCGGGGTTGATTTACTATTTGTATTGCAGTGTCACTTAGGGGGCTCGGTCCTGAACAAGCCCCCCCCGGTGCCCCACAGACACAGAACGAAATGACCGTCCCTGCCCCAAAGAGTGTCACAGCTCTAGGATTTGCTGGAAGGGGCCCAATCCCATGAGGTGCTCAGTCAGCACCCCCCATTCCATGACTCCAGTGGGGGACTGAGGGAAGACGGCACTAGAAGTGGGAACTGTGTGTTCTTAAAGGGGCAGGATATGGTAACGCAACAGCGCTGCTGCCTTTCACACCTAGTTGCTTGGTGAGTTCTAGCCTGTTTGGGTGCCCAAAAGCACATGCCGCTAGCTAATGCATCACAAAAACCCACAGGATGGAGCATGTAGGCGGTAAGTTGGTACAGTACACCCTGGCTATAATGAACCCCTGGGGATCCAAACCATTTGTTCGTTATAGCCAGGGGTTGGTTCTAGGGAAAGAGACCTGCCGGGAGGTGTCGGGGGGACGGCGGTGGCTGACACCTCGAGCCCAGCAGCAGGAGCGCCTCTGGCCCTGGGGCAGCAGCGGGCTCAAGGTGCGATCCAGGAACTAGGTTTGCTTAGCCCAAGATTTGTACAGACCCTCCCCGACTTAAGCAAGCGTTCCGCTCTGATCCGCCTTGTCTAACTCGAATTTTGCGTAAGTCGGAAACGTCTACCCGACCATTACGCAAAAAAAACCCCTCCTATCTCTAGCTTACAGAACTTTTTCCGTACGTGCGGATTTGCACACGTCGGGTTTGCGTACTCCGGGGGGCGTCTGTAATTGTGACGGGCGTCGTGCCCAGGGTGTACTGTACAACTGCTACCCAGGCGTCACGGCTATTTTTACTTGAGCTAGCGAGAGCCAAGCGAGCTCGGGTATGTCTACACGTGCTGCATTCACACCTTTGATTGCAATGTAGACATCCCCTGTGTAGGCCCCCAGCCAAATGGACCGTACTGCACGATGGGTACATAGCCTGCAGCCTGTTCCCTACTTGCCCTAAATCCTGGACTGGATTCAGCAGTCACGGAAGGGATACGTTTCCCCCCCGCCCCCATTTCCCCATAGGAAGTTCATCTGTGCTGCCTGTTCCGTCCCTGAGCCGGAAGAAAGGTTTAATGTGGATGAGTACTCGGAGATGGTAGCTGTGGCCAAGCCGGTCGTCTACATCACGGCGGCGGAGATCATTAACACCCACAAGGTGAAGGGGCCCGAAACCTACTGTCTGGAAAGGATTCTGCCTCTGCCGCGGTCGGGAGGGGAAGGAGGGCTCACGCTGGTGCCTGTCACCATAAAGGACTCAAACCTTGGACCCGGCAACCCAACCAGTACCTGCGACAAGTGCTGGGGTGGGGTCGGAAAACAAACCCATTTGCCCCTTCCCCCCGCCCAGGTCGGGTCAGCTCTGCTCCTGCCCGTGGGCTCAGCGAGGCAGTGGCTGCGTGCCCTGGTCCTGCCAGTTACTGCCACCTCGCCGCGGCGGGACGGTGCCGAGGCGTCTTAGCCTGCTCTTTTCAGAACCACGCTCTAATTCCGCAATCTCCTTTTTGACGTGGGGCGACCGCTGCACATGCCGTATTCCAGACAAGGCTGGACCGTACCATTGGTCTATATCATGGTGGGCGCTTGTCTGGAATACGGTTTTTAATCTTCTTCCTTTTGTGCTCTCCACCTCGCTCATGGTCTTCCCTCTGGTGATGTAGCTGTTACTAGAGCATCAGGACTCCATTTCGCCCGATCACAAGGACCCTCTGCATGAGCTTCTGGAAGACCTTGATGAGCTGCCTACCGTCCAGGCTCTAATAGGTACGTGCAGACCCCTGTAAGTTTCAAGAACGCCCCACCCCTCGTGTCTTCTTTCAAGTGAACATATATTGCCTGTTCCCACCTCTGATAGTAGCCTGGCTAACTTCCATTCACCTGGGCCAAGTAAATTACTTGTTGGGTGAATAACTAGTGTTGCCACCTCCTTGGGTTTTTGTTTTTTCCCTTAAAGCCTCAACCCCTGAAGTCATGCGACTCATAGAACCTCCGCTCACGTTCTTTTTAGAAAATCAAGTTTCTAGTCCTCATGGTTGCAGGAAAAAAGCTTGAAAACATGACCTGCGTGCATTAAGATCGGGGGGGCAGGGAGGGAGGCAAAGAGAACCCTATTTATATGTTAGATCTCCTGATTTTTAAGCCCATTTTGTGGGTTTTCGACTGCGTGAGGTGGGCAGTACTGTCGCATCCGTTTGTTTCTCATCCTTATGATCAAGTTGGGAGGGTCCATTACTTATTTCTATGATGCTCGGGGTTACCACTTTTCCTCTTTTGAGCTGGGAGGATTCCTGATTAGCAAGGAATAAGATGGCACCAGGTACCACTCAGTGGGATGGTTTCAGAGGGGTAGCCGTGTTAGTCTGTATCAGCAAAAAGAACAAGGAGTCCTTGTGGCACCTTAGAGACTAACAAATTTATTTGGGCATGAGCTTTCGTGGGCTAAAACCCACTTCATCAGATGCATGCTGTGGAAAATACAGTGGGAAGATAGATAGATAGATATACACAGAACATGAAAAAATGGGTGTTGCCGTACTAACTATAACAAAAGTAATCAGTTAAGGTGGGCTATTATCAGCAGGAGAAACGAAACGTTCGTAGTGATAATCAGGATGGCCCATTTCCAACAGTTGACAAGAAGGTGTGAATAACAGTCGGGGGAAAAAATTAGCATGGGGAAATAGTTTTTACTTTGTGTAATGACCCATCCACTCCCAGTCTTTATTCAAGCCTAGTTTAATGGTGTCCAGTTTGTAAATTAATTCCAATGCAGCAGTTTCTCGTTGGAGTCTGTTTTTGAAGTTTTTTTTGTTGGAGGATTGCGACTTTTAGGTCTGTGATAGAGTGACCAGGGCGGTTGAAGTGTTCTCCGACTGGTTTTTGAATATGTGAATTCTTGAGGTCTGATTTGATGTGGGATGGTTTATTGATCAAAGCCTCCGGTTTGCAAGCAGAAGCACAGAGGGGCTCGGAGTGATTTACCCCACATATAGCAGTCCACCCCAGTGGCAGGGTGCCGTGTAGAACCCAGATCTCCCCCCCCCGGCTCTGATCACCCCTCTCCGCTGATAAATGACCGAGTAGCTACTCCTAACTTTCTTTGGCCTTTTTATATATATGGAGATATACCTATCTCACAGAACTGGAAGGGACTTTGAAAGGTCATCGAGTCCAGTCCCCTGCCTTCACTAGCAGGACCAATTTTTTTGCCCCAGATCCCTAAATGGCCCCCTCAAGGATTGAACTCACAACCCTGGGTTTAGCGGGCCAATGCTCAAACCACTGAGCTATCCCTCCCCCCGCTTGCAGGCGAGAGCGCTCCGAACCCAGGCGATGGCAGCCCCGAGCAAGCACTGGCACAGCTCGGCAAGCAGGAGGTCTCGCTCACCCTCACCAACAAGTTCGATGCGGTGGAGGCCAGTAGCGAGGAGGCGGATACAAGGAGTTTGCTGCTGAGGTGAGAGCGGCCCTCTGAAGATGGCAATCCAGCGAGTCCGTGGCACGTCCTCCTTTGAAAGGGACCCTGTGGCCCAAGGAATTCAGTGATGCTTTTCTGACACTCAGAAGCCAAGCCAGTAAAGGGCCATCTTGGTCTGGAGTCCTGGCTTTGCTCTGATATGTTTAAATATCCTGGTAGTGGCATTTGCAAGGAAATCTTCCCCTGTTTGGCTCATCGCCTTGCAGCTAACTAGCTCAACCCACCCCCCCTCCTCCAAAATGGGTAACTTGTGCTCCCTTTCTTTTGTTTTAGCACCAAACAGATGCTAGTGGACGTGATCCAGTCTCAGCCGGGGGATTCCCTCTTGGAGATCTTACGGACAGCTGCATCAGAGGATCAGGTGGGGTGGAGACTAGCAGAGAGGGGTTGGCCAGCAGAGGGGGATGTTGGGGGCTGGGTGAATCGCAGCCTGTCTTAAACAGGAGGTGTTTGTTAAAGACAACCGCTACGCATAACGAACAGGCTTTCACCCAGCTTGAGTTCCAGCTTTGCTTCCTTTGTTTACCGGGGGCTAACACCCTGCCTGGCGCTTGCTACAGCACGCAGTGCCATCTACTGGCTGAGATATATACTGCAAGCACACATCATTGCAAAGGAGAGGAGCTTAACTGGAGCATATAGCACAGGTGTGGCTGCCCCAGAGCACCCCCTGCTAGTCGTGTGTGGTGGTGCTGCAGGCACTCCCGGCCTAAATTTCCTCCGCCAAGGTGGGCCCCTTCAGCCTTCCCCACACAAGCTGAAGTTGGTGCCCTGGCTTAGCCCTCCAGCCAAGTCACCGACTAAAACTTAACCCCTTCCGGGGTAACAAGTCCAAACAAAAGGTTCTTCTGCCCTGCTTGGGCTTTGCTTCAGCCTGCCTTCTGGGCTCTGTTCCAGACCCTTCTAGGCTCCCTATCCGCTCCGGGGTAGAGCCGAGTCCCCTGCTTCTTCCACCCCCTATCAGGGCCTTCCCCAGGAGCCCAACATGTTCTCTGCCCTCTCCTGAGGCCCAGCTGTTTATCCGGCTGTCACCTGAGCTCAGTTAATCCCCCTGAGGCTGGAAGGCAGCTAATTCTAGCACAGGGGCGAATAATTGAACCGGGCTGGCCAGTGGCCTCCTGGTCTTTGAAAGGGGCAGGCCGGCCTGTTACAATCGCACCCCGGCGCGGGACCATTGTTGATTCCTTCGGCCCACCTGTGCCCCACCCAGTCTGAGAAGCCGGAGTTCCCTGTGCTCAGGGAGGAGATGTAGTTCTCTCTGGCCTGAGGCTCGTGCGTGTGTGTGTGTGTGTGTGTGTGGCTGCTGGGGGGCTGACTTCCTATGCTCTCCCCGCGGCCTCCAAGTCTCGAAACCTGCTTCCGGGGATGCTGCCGCAGGTGCCGCGTTGATGGAAGAAATGTTCCCCCCCCCCTCTCTCTAGGAAGCCTTCCATCACCACCAGATGCACAGACGGGCCCTGCGCGAGGCCCAGACCCCAGACAGGTTGAAACGCAACCGCTCCCTGGCTGGCAACAGCCAGCTCTCCATGGAAGAGAAGAAGCGGAAAGTCATCCGGAACCTGCGGCGCTTGGAGAGCCTGGGGGTGGTGGACTCAGCCAATCAGTACCAGGAGATCATCAACGAGATGGCCAAGGTACCACGCCCTGCAGCCTGCCCCGGCTTAGAGAACCTAGGAGAAGGCCAGGGGACTAGGAACAGGCTCAATAAGAGGATAAGCCAAAGGTGTTGGATGCACAGAGTCCATTAATACTGGAAGGGCTCAGTTCTGATGGGAGCCAAATTAATCACTAGGGTGGACAGACAGACAGATAGCAGAGGGCTCCAGCAGACAGCCTGGCTCAGGTCCTTACTTTGTCAGAGACTCCCTGTGTGACCTTGGATGAGGATAAAGACACTGATTGTGCAGTGCTCAGATGTGACAATAATGGAGTTCACGTTAGATACTGATCTGCACAACAGAGCTAGTGTTGGAGGGGGCGGATGTGTTCGGGGGACGTAGGCGGCCACTCGGAACAGTCCTGTAAGTGCCTGAAAGAGAATCCGATGCTTTAAGCCCCGTGGTCCTTATCTTGTTCCCAGAATCCAACTGGCGTTTAGCTGGTGGTCAGCTTTGTAACCACGCATGAGTCGCTTTGATTCTCGCTTCGGTAAACTGGCACAAGGCAAGGGGTTTTCCAGCTGTTTGTATGTTTGTTTTTTCATCCCTGCCCATGCTCCAGGATATTCGCAATCAGAGGCGTTACCGGCAGCACCGCAAGGGGGAGCTAGTGAAACTGCGGCAGACCCTCTGCGGCCTCAACTCCAAGACCTTGTTTTATGAGGAGCAAATCGACTATTACAATCAGTACATCCGGACGTGTCTGGACAACCTGGCTGCCAGCAGCAAGTATGTTGGACTAAAAGAGCTCAAAGCTGTAACCGCCAACACTTATGCAGGATAAGCCGGAGGGTAACGGAATGTCATGCTTCATGGCATGAGCTGATCAGGGGTCAGGAAGGAATTCTTCTCCGCTCTGTATGTAGCATCATATCCCTCTTTAGTTAACCTCAAGCCTTCTTGCTAGTTGGCCGCCTCTGTTCATCCAGCACTTACTTCCTCTCTTGGCTCTTCTCCCCTACATCCCGTTAATCTGGAAACCCCTCTGTGCCTCTCCCCACCTCACTGACTTCCCCCCTCCGGCCCCACTGGAGATCTGACTCGTAGGTCCAGATCTGTGAGTCGGACGCGTCAGTGTAAGCGACTCTCTGTGTTTATCGCGTACCAGGCAGGCTGCTGTGTGACTTCATTTCAGCCCCTGGCGTTCTCTGCTTCTAACCCCCCCACACCCCCTATTCCTTTTCTTTTTAAGGCTCAACGGGAAGAGCAAGAAGCAGCCGTCGCTGCATTACACGGCGGCGCGGCTCTTTGAGAAGGGCGTATTGCTGGAGATAGAAGACCTGCCTGTCAGCCAGTAAGTACTCACCGCCACCAGTGCTGCTCGGATCTGAAAGCTGCCCCAGTCCAACAGCCACTCAGTTATCTGCCCGTGTGATAAGACCTGGGTCATCTCAGCCTGGCTCTGCTCACTTCCCCTTTGCTGACAGTCTCAGCCTAAAGGCCATACAGGCTGGGAGTCAGAGGGGCCTCCGGCAGGGCAGTGTGTAAGAGGGAAGATTATTCGAGCTGGCCAAAAAAATGAGCAATTGAGCGAATCTCAGGTGCTTTCTTCCTCCAAGTCTGGTTGTTCGAATATACTCCTTGGGTAGATTATACTCTGCTTCACTACTGTACAACAGGAAACAGACAGAGTGAAGGCTACGGAGCTGATCAGCGGCAGAGAGTGGGACTAGAACCCAGGCGTCCGGATTCCCAGCCCCCCACCCCGCTGTAACCATTAAGCAACACTCCCCTTCCAGAATGGGAATAGAACCCCGGCCTCCGGACGCTGCTGTCTCAGCCTTTCCGTTGCCCTCGTTTAACTCTCTCCCCTTCCAGGTTCCGGAACGTGATTTTCGACATCATTCCGTGTGGGGAAGCCGGCAAGTTCCAGGTGAAGGCCAGATTTATGGGGATCGACATGGAGAAGTTCCAGCTCCACTATCAGGTAGGGAACCAGCCCTGGCACCTTCGCCCATGGGGATGCTTCTGTGCTGAGCATAACAGCAGCACAGAAGAACCGAGGTGGAGTCAATGCACCAATCCGTGGTTGGAGTTCGGAGGTGACACAGTTACAATAACTCTTGCCATCCGAGAGGTATGCATTACATAGACTCCCAAGGGTTAATGTCATGGTTGGAGCAGGGGACTGGATAGAACCCAGGAGTCCTGGCTTAGGCCACATGCTCTACCCGCTAGACCACACTCCCTTCCCCAGCCAGGAACAGAAGTTAGGGTTTGGCTCCTGATAGGGGAGAGCAGTCTGGTGCTTGGAGCAGGACACCTGTTATCTCCCTAGGGTCTATTCTTGACAGTGCAGCCAGCTTGCTCCATAGACGAAGTGAAGTACCTTCTCCCCTGAACCCCAGTATCCCCAGGCATGCAAACCCAGCAGGCAGTTAGCTTTGACCTCCCAACACAGATGGGCTATGAATCATAGAATATCAGGGTTGGAAGGGACCTCAGGAGGTCACCTAGTCCAACCCCCTGCTCAAAGCAGGGCCAATCCCCAGACAGATTTTTGCCTCAGATCCCTAAGTGTCCCCCTCAAGGATTGAACTTACAACCCTGGGTTTAGGAGGCCAATGCTCAAGCCACTGAGCCAGGGGTGCTCTGGATAGTGAGGCTGATGAGATGTCTACCTAGAATCCTTAATTTATACCAGAGTAAACCCCTCCAGGGAGGAAGAGCGCTTGGAGCAGGGAACTGGTTGATAAGATTCCTGGGTTCTCTATTCCCAGCTCTGGAAGGGAGCGTGATCTAGTGGTTAGAGCAGGGGGGGGCCAGGACTCCTGGTTTCTATGTTCCCAGCTTTGTCACTGACTCGCTGTGCACGTTGCTTCCCCTCTGCCTCCGTTTCCCCATCTGTAAAACGGGGGATAATGCCTACCGCTGGCGGGGGTGTTGGGAGACTGAACGTTCGTCCGCTGCTCAGAGAGCCTGGGATGCAGCTGGCAATGGACTCCCAGCGTGATGTGCCAACAGCAGCTCAGAAGGAGCCGAGGGAAGGATCCAGAGCTCCTGGAAGTAGAGGGAAAGATTCTCCCTTGACCACCAGGGGCGCTGGCTCGGGCTCCACCAAAGACCTGTCACCAGTGGGACTTTCTCCCTCCCAGGACCTGCTGCAGCTGCAGTACGAAGGTGTGGCCGTCATGAAGCTGTTCGACAAGGCCAAAGTCAACGTCAACCTGCTCATTTTCCTCCTCAACAAGAAATTCTTCAGGAAGTAGCTGGGGGGTAGGAGGAGGGGGGAGGAGGGAACCTGCCAAAGAGATTTCAGGGACAGAATCCGGCTTCTGAACGGTACCTTGCCAAGGAGAGGGGAAAACTACAGAACCGGAGCCATTGCCGTTAACCCTCTCCTGCCCAGAACTGGCACGCTCGAGCTCTTCTACATCAAGCTGCATCTGGTTGCCTTGGGGGTTAAATCTGGATCCCAGCATACGTGTGGGGGGGGGGGGGGGGGATGACGCTTGTGCCTCCCCTATTCAGGGGCTGGCGCATGCTCTGGCAGAGGGTACAGCACCCCTTACAGCTGCCCTTTTTGTTGCAATGGTCCCTAGGGGGCTTTGCAGTGGTCTAGAATGCCTAGTGTGCTGGTCTGCCCCATCTGCCTGCCCCCTTGCAGCTGGGGGGCTGACGGCTGATCCGCAGTCCCTTTGCGGCAATGGAGCCGGTGCCCCAGGGTCTGATTCCTCGGTGCCTTATCCGTGCTGCTGCTGCTTTGACTAGATAGGAAACACTATTACTCCGAGCTGCCGCCCACTTCCTATGAACAAGGCGATTGTTTATTTTATTTTGTGTGTTTTTTAACTAGCCTGAGACTTTTACGCATTGAGTGGCTGAGCTCTGGCTTATCCCTTCTCAGCCACGCGAGCGCGAGGTTGGAAATTTTTTCACCCTCCCCCTCCCCCCCCCTCGACGCGGGTGAAACCAGCGAGAGACGTGTGAGAGTTCTTGGGCTGCACCGAGGCGTGCAAACGATCCGCGTACCACGCGAGGGTCCTCTGCTGAACGGCAGCGAATCGGGCTCAGGCTTAGTTGAACAGCTGGTATTGGACTACTGTTAGCACAAGGCGTGGTTTGTGTGTGTGTGTGTGTGTGTGTGTGAGAGAGGGAGGGGGTTAGCAGTCTCTGTGGCTTTTTAATGTATATTAAACCCGTTTTTTAAAACTAGTATTTTTAGATGTTTGAGTTCTGAGCTTAGTTCTCTCGGGTCACTTTGCCAGTGGCCGTTTAAGGACACGGAGGGGTTGTAGGCTGCAGACCTGATCTTTGACATTTTAGCTTTTTTAAAAGATACATTGATTGTAATTTTTCCCTACCCCAGCAAAAAAACCCGGCTACCTCTGTTTTCTCAGTCAAAATCAGACTGCCCATAGAAGAAGAAAAATCCCATAACCACACCAGTGTTGGCCACCCTACAATAATAAACACTGTGTGTGGGCTGCCGGGCTGCCCAGTACCTTTGGGCCACCCTACAATAATAAACCAGTGTGTGGGCTGCCTGGGACCCATGGGCAGCCCTCCAATAATAAACCAGTGTGCAATAGAGAGCAGCTGAAACCTAATTAAGGCCACTAACTTCATTTTAAAGCCTCCGAGGGGTTCCAGTGGGGAAAAATGGATCAAAATAGTTCCGCTTACCATGGGGCCCTGGCCAGACTGGTTCACTCATTGCAATGTGTCATAAAGTGCAGGGGAAGGGGGCCCGGGCATGTCAAAATTAGGGAAGACCTCGATGGTGTGATTTTTGGTTTGGTTTTGTTTAAATCTTCATGTTCTCTAGGTGGTCTGTACCCCTAGCAAATGGAGGGAATAGCAGGGTGGGGGCAATCGCTCTCCATCTGGGAAGGATAGGAAAGAGGGTAAACGCGAGTGGGTAACATCTGACCGAGGCGACTCTGGAATGAATAATCCCCAGGGGACAGGAAGGGAAGTACAAACCAGGACCTTGGTCTTGCGAGATGCTCCTGCGTGTGTTTAAGCAGGAGTGCTGCTAGTGATTTGAACGGGGGGGCGGGGAGGCCTGCTCACCCCAGTCATGGCCCAGCACTCTGGGGTGCTAGGCGCCGTCAAAACCCAGAACGCAAAGACAGCCCCTGCCCCCGAGAGTTTTCAATCAAAAGTGCCACCAGCGTGAGTCGGTGCTTGAAGCCGAGCGTGTGCGTTTGTGGGGGCAGGGGCGAGGATTGCCGATGCCTGTACCAAAAAGCCCCCCTCTTTCTTACGACCTGAATTTTTCTTTTAAATAACTTTTCGAACCCCATTAAGATGCCAATGAAACCTGCCACCCTAGCACCAGTAACGCTGCACTGCCTATGCCGAGGCATGTACTGAGAACGCTTACAAGTGCCTGGTATAGTCAGGCACCAAACCAAGGCTTGAAATTACTTGTGTTTATAATATGGCGTCACGGGTGGGCAGGACACTTCACAGGCCTCGTCTTCACGGCAGCGTGAACTCGAGTTCTGGCCCTAGCTCAAATTCCGTCCGCACACGCGCACGCCCCCTTTAACTCAGGTTGGCTTGGCGGCTCCCACAGTTGCTCTGTGCAGCTTAAGTGTGAGCGGCCACACTGGAGCGAGGCTAGCTAGAGAGGCATAACCTGAGTCTGCAGCGAAGACATCACCCTAGATAAGGCAGTGTGGTTCAGTGCCCTGGGAGCCAGGAGACTGGAATTCTAGCCACAGCTCTGCCATGGACCTGCTTGGATGTGCCTCAGTTTCCCTCTGTGTAAAACAGGGATAATATAATACCTACTTCATTATATAGATAACCATTTAACATCCACCCGCATAAAGCCATTTGAGATCTGTGTGTGAAAAGCCTTGTGTTAAAAGTGGCAGGTCTCTGACCAACAGATCTTAGACTAGATAATAGATACGTAACTCTGAGGATGCTGGAGTTTTCCCTACTGCTTGCCAAGGCATACTGCTGGCCAGATCCTCATCTGATGCGAACTGCCAATGGAGCTTGGCTGACTTACACCAGGTGAGGCTCTGGCCTAGCAGGTCTAAGGGTGCAGCCTTCAAAAGGCAAGAGAAATTCCCTGAGTTCAGTGTTCATAGTAACGAAGGACAATTGCTTTAGCAGCTGCAGAAAATTTAGCTAAAAATCCAGCTTCAGTAGTGAACCCCTTTTTCTCCTTTGCTGATCCAATGACACCTAGTGGCCTAAGAGAATATTGCCTTTTAAAATACATTTCAGCTTCAACCTTTTTGAATGAGTATGAATCAGGGACAGGGAGTTGGCATTAGCTTTACAAAGCAGTTTTATACCTTTTTTTTAATTTTTTTTCCAATGGCATAATGATTTTGCAGAAGCTGGGTAGTGAGGTGTTATTAAATCGTATATAGTTTTTAAAGAACTAGGAGTTATGGTAGATCAAACTGAGTACGAACCAACACTGTAATGGTGGAGTTGCAAAAAAGGCTAATATTCTGGGGTGTAGTAACAGGAGTGTCGTATATAAGACACAGGAGGTAACTGTCCCACTCTGCCTAGCAGTGGTGTGGCCTTAGCTGGAGTCCTGTGTCCTGTTCTGGGCGCTGCACTTCAGGAAAGACGTGGATACATTGGCGAGAATCCAGAAGACAGCAACACAAACGATCAAAGGTTTAGAAAAGCTGACCTATGAGTAAAGGTTAAAAAACCTGGGCATGTTTAGTCTTGAGAATAGAAGACTGAGGGGAGGGGATCAGTCTTCAAATATGATCCGAGTGAGGTATGATCAGAGTGGTCAATTGATCTCCATGTCTGCTGAAGGTAGGACAAGAAGTAATTAGGCTTAATCTGCAGTAAAGGAGATTTAAGTTAGCTAGTAGGAAAAAAGTCTCAGGTGTACTTCATCCATGATCATCTCGACTGGCTGTTTCATAACCCCCACAGCTGTTAGATTTATACTACACTCCACGTGAAGACAGAGCCAGCTCTAAATTTAGGACTCCTGAACGTCCTTTGTGCCGGGAGCTGTACATACACGTGGCCAGAGACAATCCCTGTCCCATAGAGCTTTGGCCAGGTCTGTACGAGGGTATAGCTATGCCAGTACACTATGCCGCCAAAGTGCTCCTAGTGTGGACGCAGCCTATACTAGCAAACCCGCACAATTAGCAATGTCGCTTATTCCACCCCACCGCTGAGCGAAACAAGCGATCCCGCTAAAAGCATGGTTTTGCCAGTGTAACTGGATCGGCACTCGGGCTTTCTGCTGGCTCAGCCGTGTGGATCAGAAATCACTCCGGATTGCCATTGCTACGTCAGCAGAAGGCTGTAGTGTAGACATGGCCTCAGTCTAAATAGGCAAGATAGACAAAAGTTGGGAGAAAGGGATGGTTTATCTCCGGTATGCAGACGGGGAGCCGACACGCGTTTACACACCCTGCAGCAGCGACTCGGTCCACAAACTCGGGTTGACACTAGAGCGCTAGCCCCAGCCGGCTGACCCAGACATACCCAGAGTGGCTGGGCTTGATTCTCTGTTGCTCTGATCCTCACAGGGTCCTTTTGCGCCCGGACAGAATGGGTGTAAAATGCTGTCCTGATGTAGCAATGGACACCCTCTGCTAGGCACCAGAATTGAGCCTGCTTTCACTCAGGAAGCGGGGCATTAGAGACTCCGGTCTGGGTCCTGATCCAGCGCCTTAACTGCTAGGCTCTCCTATTAGGAGGGTGGGGTGGGGATTTACTCTCAGAAACTCTGCTGGTTCCATAAGGCTGCAGCGTGGCAGGGCCTTCCCTTTGTGATGCTGGGGCAGGGTAAAGAAGCCTTCAAGTGGCTGTAAACCAGTCACACTCACGTGGTTGTGAGGCTAAGTGCACTGAAGATTGCAAGGTGCTTGGGTACTACGTTACTGGAAGGCAGATCAATACCAAAGACGCTTAAAGGGGCCTTAATATAAACGAGGATTGTGCTAGAAGGGCTCCCGAACCTGGCCAAATGCAAGTTCTACAGCGAAGCGTGTGCGCCGTCAGGATTCTGCCTGCGTGGCCTAAACGGGAGCTGCTTGCCCATCCAGCCTGGCGGCTGCTCTCCTGGCTATTTATAGTTAGAGCTGATGCGGTTTGGAATCCGTTTTAAAACGTAGCGTCATTAGGGATTGAGCTAAACCTGTCGCTGCTGCTTCCCATGCAATGATACGTGTTGGATTTAGCTTCCGACCAGCCCAACGGCCGGAAAAGGCCTAAAACAGCCAACGTTTCGGGGGCTCTTTCAGTTGGTTTTTAACCCAGACCAAAGGACATGGCACGCTCTGTTTGTCTAGTGATGTTGCAGTCAACCAATTGCCAGCTGTTCTATTAGGGCCCAATCCTGTGAGGGTGCTGAGGGCACTGGCCCTGATTCGGGAAAGCTCCTAAGCACGTGCTTACTTGCTAAGCAGGTGACTAATCCCATTGAAGCGAATGGGGCTATTTGCCATGCTAAATGGAGGCTAAAGTGCTCTGCACTTGTCCAGGATCCAGCCCCCAAATAGGCCTGATCCTGCCAGCTTTGCATGTGCTCCATTCCCTTGAGACCAGACCCTGCTCCTCTTTGCATTGGAGTAAACTGAGAATAACTCTGCAGAAGTCAGCAGCATTTCGCTGCTAAAGGGAAAAAATGGTGAGCAGAACGGGGGTGGCAGACGTCAGTAGGGACAGAGAGTGCTGGGGGTCATGCAGAACGGGGTCCTAAAGAGAGATCCTGGTAGCAATCAAGGACCTGACCCTCATGTACACTCAAGCCCCCTTCGCACCGCTCTGGCAGTGTAAAGGGAACTTCAAAGGAGTCTAAATTACAGTTGAGGCCTTATATTTTAACTGTAATTTACACTGAATCTAAGTCTCCATTACCCGGCCAGCACAGCGCAAAGGGGCCCTGTGTGTGAATGAGGATCAGACCCTCACACCTATATATTTTGCTCATGTAACTCACCTTACGGTGTAGGCTTGCTGCTCTGGGTTATTCTCTCACAGAGGGGTTAAGTGAGGAACTGTAAGTCTGTCCGTCTTGGAGCTCTGTTCTTGCTGTGTCCCTGGAAGGAATTTCTGTCTGTTTCGTGTCTTTTTGTTTTTGTCATTCACTTGCTGTACAGAGTGTGTTAATCCTGCCTCTCCAGGCGTGTGCCCGCTGTATTCAAATCTCCATTGCTTCTCTGTGCCCGCGCCTCACTCGGTTTATTCTAAATAAACGTCTCTAGGTGGACAAAACGGTAGTTACGTTGTCCTTGTTACAGATCAACTCTGGAGCAGGAGGCAGGGGGGTGTAGGCAGGAGACCTGGATTCTATTTCTGCCACTGACCTAGTGGGTGACCCTGGGCATGTCACTTCCCTGCTCTGTGCCTCCGTTCCTGCCTTATAACCTAAATAGATAAGATGGCCAAAGGGGAAACAATCTATATCAAGATTATCTATATGCATCTGAAGAAGTGGGTTTTTTACCCACGAAAGCTTATGCCCAAATAAATCTGTTAGGCTTTAAGGTGCCACCGGACTCCTTGTTGTTTTTGTGGATACAGACTAACACAGCTACCCCTGAATCTATATCAGTGGGACTGAGACCTCAGTGATTCAGATGCCAAATAAGCGATCAACATTACCCAAAAGAGCTGCAGTAGTGTGAATTCATTGTTTCATTTACTATTTATAATTTTTCTTACAGCAGAATGACTGACCAAATATTATTTTATCAACTACAATTGGTTAAGAACATATTAAAAGCATCCTGATTGGATGATTTAATTATTAACCAATCTAAGTCATTAACCAGTGTGTTAATATGTGCTACAAAGAGCTGCAGGAGACACACAAAAGAGCCACTTCCGGCTCCCAGGCCTCAATCTGAGCATCATTGATCTAGACAGACAGCGCCTGGCGCAGCAGGACTATGATCTTAAATGGGGCATCTAGATACTACTTTAAATAACAATAAGGGCCAAATTCTGCCTCTTGTCTATGCATGTAAATCTGAGGGGGTTGAACAGGAGAACCATGCCTGTTTCCAGGGACAGACTCAATGGGCAAGGGGACGGCGCATGCTTTTCAATCCATACTCTTACCAAAAACGACCCAAGCTTGATCGTCTCGAAATGCCACAAACAAACACTTTTATATTGTGACAAAGTCAGGCCGGAGGGTCCTGGAAGGCCGGATACGTTAGCACAAGAATGTTAAAGGCCCATTTTCCTACAAGTTGAGAAGGGGTTACTTCAGGTCAATTAGGGACACCTGAATCCAATTAAGGGCTGCCTGAGGCCTCTAAAAACCCCTCCTCTGGGGAGAGTAAAGGGGAAGAGAGAGACAAGCTAGTGGCAGCTAGGAAAGAAGCGGTTTCCAGGCTGAGAGGCTGTGCTCCTCCCCAGAGGGGAACAGCCAAACCCAAGTGCCTGCGAGGGGAAAGACAGACACCCCCGGACAAGCAACACGACGACACCTTGCCCCAGCAGGGAGGCAGGAAAAGGTATCCCCTTTTGTTTTTGTGTTTACAAAACTGTTTCCTTTTCATATGGTGGAGGATCACCCCTTAGGCCAACCCTGAGGACAGCCAAAGGAGCACAGAAGGGGAAGGTAAACACTGCCCGGAGTGGGGCTGATTTACCCCCAGGCCCGCCATTGCCAGAGGGGGAAGGGCTAAGTCTGGCGAGCCGGAGGAGGTGCCTTTCCACGATATTTATACAGCAGCATCTTTATGTCTAGAGGGATCTCAAAGCACTAGGTGTAGAGGTCAAAAATTATTTGACCCTCTTGTGAAGTGCAGCCACTGCTGGGGTGAAGCGCATCTGTTGTTCCACGGCAACATACAATTCTTCACTTGGAGCAGCTATGTCCAATTCAAACCACAAGATGAAATCTCTTAAAGCAAGAGCAATCTAATTACCCTCATGGGATTCTGGCCAACGTAAAGGCACTGCCCTCCCTCTGCTTTTATGAAGAGTGAAATAGGATAAGTGGCTTCTAATTCTCTCATTGCCCCCTGGCCATCACAGTTCATTGGGAGGAGCGCTATCTCTTGCAAAGCACGCCTTAGCCTGAGCTTACACAATGAGATCCCGTATGGAATTTATGGCTGAGAGGTAAAAAGTGGCCTGACCTACAGGCGGGAAGGCTGGTACTGGGGTGAAAGTACAGGGTTTGGCCTGGCAAGTTGTGGCTTCAATCCCTGGCTCTGTTACAGCCTCATTGTGCTGGGCAACTCACTTAACCTCTGTGCTCTGTTCCTCATCTGTAACATGGGGCTAATGTCTCCCCTGTGTTTAGATTGAACGTTCTTTGGGGGCAGGAACTGTCTCTCCCTAGGTGTACGTACAGCACCGAGCGCAGTGAGACCCCAGCTCAATTAGGGTTGCTTCTCTATTAAGCCAGGAATTTCCAAAAGGGAGGAGTGATATTCCCCCCCCCTGCCCCCGCCTCCAGGTGCCCAATCTCTTTAAAGGGGCCTGATTTCTCAGCACCTGCCCTCTGACAATCCAGCCCCACGGAGGCCGCTCCAAAATAGCTGTTGGAGAACCTCCGCCAAAGTTAATGATCGGCCAGCGGGGGCTGCTGGCCAGGTAGATGACTGACTGTAGCTAGGTGGTGTTCGTGTGGGCAGAGCTTTGCTATTGAGACTGTTGTGTAGTTTGAAGTGTGGACAAGCAGGCAAGGTTTGGAGGTCGCATTCTTATTTAATGTTTGTATCCATTGATATTCCACGAAGGAGATAAACAGGCTCCCGCAGCAAACTGCACCCCCATATCTCACCTGCACCTCCCCAAGATTAATCTGCATCGCAGATGACTCGGTTGATAATGAGCTAGATAATAGCAACATTAGCTCGGAATGGGCTTCATTTAAGTCGCACTGAGTCAGATGCTTAGATATCTATTCAGCTCTTGTGCAGGGAATTTAGGCCACTTTCAGACACACTTAATTCTTACATAAATACTATGATTACATCTCATAAAGACTATGATTATATCTTTAAAAGAATAAATTTGTAGCAAGCTGCAGAAACGCTTCACGTTCTAAAATAGGAGCGAGCGGTAGTTAACCTCTTGGCTGCTGCGCCGCCAGGAGAAAGATCATGTGCACGAATAGGTTTTTCTTCCATTTGCAGCTCAGAAATAATAGATCCTTCTCTGAAGCACACGGTTATCTCTTTAGTTGGGACTCTGTGTGATTAACCCTGGCTCTCGGCAATCTAAATCTTTCTGCCTCAACGTGGTTTGAGCTAGGAAGCTGCCATCGAGACTTTCGTAAGTAACCAGTGATTTTTTGGGGGTGTCAAGTGGGTAGAGGCCCAGCGGGAGATCCCTTTAATAATAATAATGCTGCTGTAAAGAGGTAGGCATTAAAGCTCTTTACAAAGGAGGTCAGTAGCATTTATCCCCATTCACACCTGGGGAAACTGAGGCACGGGGAAGGAAGTGAATTGGCCAAGTTCACCCAGCAAGGGAAGGGCGGAGCCTGGAATTGAACTGCAGTCTCCTAAGTCCCGGTGTTCTTTCGCTAGGCCAGACTGTCTTCTCACACTCTGAAAATCAGGCCCCCTTGAAGGTGTCTTAATTGAATACCTAAAAAATGACTTGCCTGCTTTGAAAATTGTGGTTTAGATTTTGGTGGGAGCTTTACTCCTGAGACACTTCTATCACACTTATCCCAAGGGTGTCTGTGCACCAGAAACCTCACCCCCACCCTGTGTTTGCTCACCCTGCCCAGGCAGTAGTATTCTCTTCATTATACAGCTGGGGAAACTGAGGCACAGAGCCTCCGGGTCTGGTTCTCTGTTGCCAGGCACACGGTGGCAGTCCTTTGCAACAGTGCAAAGTGAATGGGGAAACGCGCTACCATTTAGCTCCCTTTTCACTAGTGTAAAGATCTGCACGTGTGGAGGGCAATGGTGAATTGGGACTCATGTGAGAGTCTGTGGCCAAGCCAGGAATCAAAGCCTGATCTCTTTTGTCCTAGAGCAGCGTCTTAAGCACAGGGCTCCCCCTCCGGCCGTGTATGTGTTTCAACATTGGGCTCACTGGTGTCAAAGCACAAGTCCATGGAGCAGATCCTCCGATCCCCATTCCATAGCCCGCGTCGACTCCCACGACATTGGACTCCAACCTTAAATCTGGGAAGCCGCTGGCAGGGTTTTGGGCCGGAATTATAAGGCTTGCTGGGTGGCTCTCTGTCAAAACCAGGTGACCGCTTTTGTTTCCTCCCTGCCTGCTTAAAAAAGGGGGTGGGGTGCCAGGCTGAACATGTCAGCAAGCTGCCGCGCCAGCACAATCTCCGGCAGCAGCTCCACTAGATGTCGTCGTAACCTGGGGAACCGCACGCCGTTGGGGGATTCTAGTCTGTTGGTCTGGCGATGCTGTTCACTGGGATTCGACAAGAATATTTCGAGTTTATATAATAATTCAGCTGTGGCGCTCGGCGATGGGCACGTCACGCTGCCCCCATTTTAAGGAGGGGGAAACTGAGGCACGGGGGAGAGCTGTGACTTGGCTGATAAGCTCTTTGGGGGAGGGGGCTGCCTTTTTGTTCCAGCTAGAGCGCCTAGTGTCAGGGGTCCTGGTCCATGGGGCTCCTAGGTGCTACCTCTGTGCAAATACTAATAATTATTATGTATATAATAATACTAGCGGTGAGAGGCTGCAGCCAGGATTGGGATAGTGTTGTGCCAGGCGCTGTACGTATGTGTACTCGGAGACAAGCCCCTGTCCCAGAGAGCTTCAAATCTAAATAAATAAGGCATTAAAGAGGGAGGGTGATGCATCAGGCCAGGAAATAGAGCCAAATTCTGCCTCTGGTCTATGCAGGTGGGGGTCAGGTGCTGGGGATAGAGACGCAGGGCAGTTGGACGGTCACATAGGACTTTAATACACGCCTGGCCCTGGGCCACCTGCTGTAAATTCCCACCAGACCGAGCCCGGCCCCTCTACTTTCCCAGCTCGGCATACAGCATGTCACCTCGCCCGGGATGCGGCTGCCGAGTGAGACAAATCACCAGTTGCCATGCAACCCCTAGCAACAGCGTTCCCGCTTCCCAGCCCCGCTCCGTCTCCCTCGTTATTTATTATCATAATTGCCTCCGCGAGCATAAACTATTTTAAATGATGTGACAGATTGGTGCATTCTTGGGGGGGGGAGTTGTTGTTGTTTTAAAAGTGATGGAATGCTACCAGACACGTGAGAGCGACGTGGTTGGGAGATGGGGCACCTATGAAATATTTCACAGGTAACGTGGTCAGTTTTCAGGATTCAGAGTTAACCCCCACAGCCCCCCAGAACGGACCATTCTGATCATTGAGTCTTAACCTGTCAGCAATTTGGGGTGGAGACTGTCTTTTTTTTGTTCTGTATTTGTACAGCGCCTGGCACAGTGGGGGCTTGGGCCATGATTGAGGCCCCTAGGTGCTAACATAACACACACAC